GCAGCTAGCGCTGAAGAAAGACAACATCAGTCTAGAGTCACGGGTCAGAGAGAGAGAGAGAGAGAGAGAGAGGGAGCCTCAGGGGGAAGGGACCACATCCACACGCGCACTCTTTGCTTGCTTACTTGTCGTGTATGCATTGATGAACTTCCGGCAACGGCCCTTAGACGCTTTTGAATGGAAAATTCAAATCCCTCGCACTTCGACGCAGGAGAGCTTTCATATCCTGCACCGAGTATAGCTGCTGCCGTGCACCTGCCAGAATGGCCAGCGAACTTGGCCAGACTGACCCTGGCCAGATTAACGGCATCCTACGCGGTGTGTGAGTTCTTTCTCTTCTCTTTTTCCTTTTCTTTTTCTTTCCTTTTCTCCCCATAGCATATATAAATGGGAGCGGGCAATTTTCTTCGTAGCTCTTGCCTCTTGCTTATGTGCAGCTGCACATCCCTGCTGTCTGACCTTGCCTCTTCTCTGACTGACGACGATGTAGCCCGACTTCACACGGACCAGTTGCTGCGGCTCTCACAGCGCGCTGCGGCCAGCAGGGCCCATGGCGCCTTTCGCGGCGGGGAGAGGAGGCTTGAGAGTGCCTCTCACGGCAGGCGGCTGGCGCCCCTCGACGACCTCCAGCAGAGGACGCATCTGATCTACTCGCATCCACTGTCCGGGGCTGAGCTGGTCAGCGCCTACACGACGATTGCCTGGCGGGTGGGCGAGGCGCTCCAAGAGGACTCCATCTACGGCAAGCTGACTGTCACGGGCCAGGTCTCGGGCAGCCATGACGAGGGGGAGACCCTCCTGCTGCGCGACGGTGCCACTTTCATGTTTGTGCCAGCGACGCCCTTCGAGCCTGGCGAGGGCGTGATCGTGACGGTGGCGGCGGGAGTCCAGACGATCAGCGGGAGATCCCTGCCAGAAGCGACATGGGGATTCCTCGTATCTTATCGCCCTCTCGATACCTACTTCGATTCCGTGTTTCCGTTTGGTAGACCTGATTGGAGCACCAACACAACCAACACAACGGAGAACAACAACAGCCGTGGGCTCCGAGAGGCGACGCCGCCCAAGGTAATCGAGGCGATCCGTCAGATGCAGGAAGGCTTCTTGCTCACGGGAGGCTCACCCCCTGCGTCCAACACCACCTTTGTCACACGTCGGCAGCTCCAGCACGACGGTCCCGCCCCTGCAACTGGAAGAATGCTGCAGTCCCATGAGCAGCAATACGTGTTCCCCGACCAGCGCTATCGCACGCTTCCGGATGGATTCCCCAGCGGTACTCTGACAATCCACAGCAACAAGTCCCAGCTGGCCCCTGGCTACGTCTGGACTAGTCAATTCACAAACGATAACTACGGCAAGCTGAATATCATGATGGTGAGATGTGTGGCTGGGTGGTGTACACGTCGGGCAGGCACTCGATGGACTGATGTCTACCTTTTCTCTCGTGTGTTTTCCGCAGACCGACCACGGCGATCCCGTCTTTTTTGACGTGTCGCGTGTGATGAGTAAGTCACCGTCTTGTAGTTGAAGGATACCTACTGATATATGATCGATGGCCTTGAACAGGTTACTTCGCTCCGACGGGCGATGGCACCCAGTCCATCATGGCCGTCTATGATTCCTTCATGACCTTGGCTGCCTTTGGAGAAGACTACGAGGAAACTGAAAGGACCAGCACCCAACATGGCCACAGTGAGTGACAAACCAGCGAGAAGGGAACGCGGCACTGTGTGAGTTTTGTTCCTGTCTCACTCTTGCAGTTGCAAATCAACACGACTACATGATACTTGAGAATGGGAATGGAATGCTGTTCATGTGAGCAGAAGCCCGTGGTGCTCGGTCATTTGTTGTGCCTGGTCATTGTGTGCCTTGCCTTTGGATGCTGTCAGTTACGACCCCCAGCAGCTTGATCTGACGAGGTTGCGGCCAGAGCTGCTCGGGGCATCCAGCAGCACATGGGCCGTGGGACTCGTGCTGCAGGAGGTGACGCCGGAAGGTAAGTCGGCCATACAGACAGAGACCGACTGCCGGGCAACTACTGCGTCGCTCTCCTCTGTCCATCTGTACGCAGGCTACTGCGTCTTTGAGTGGCGTATGTGGGACCATCTGCCCAGCTCCTGGCAGGACACGGAGATCCCAGTGAGGGAAAACATATGGGACATCGCACACGCCAACAGTGTGGACGAGGGCCCGGACGGCAACTTTCTTGTGTCACTTCGCGCGCTCAACGAGGTCATCAAGATCGACAGGTACGAATGGTCGTTGCTTCCTCCCTCTTGCGCCGTTGCTACCACATGGTTCTCTCTCCTCTTCATCCAGGACCACTGGTGCAGTCTTGTGGCGTCTCGGCGGAAAGCGTAGCTCGTTCGAGATAGTTGGCGACCCGAATGGTCAGTTCGCCGCCCAGCACGACGCGCGCGACCTCGGCGGCGACATCATCACGCTCTTCGACAATGCCGTCCGCACAGGAGACACCCACGCGAGGGCAATGGACTACGCGCTGGAATTCGATGGCGACGGCACGCCGACGGTCGCCCGCGTCGAGAGCATGTGGGACAGCGGCATGCGCGCCTACGCCAAGGGCAGCTACCGCCGCCTCGACAACGGCAACAGAGCCGTTTGCTTGGGCTTCGACGTCCCAGACAAGTTCAATCCCAACGATCAGGAAATACAGGTCAGACCCGCTGTCACGAAAAGACAATGACGATGCACACGCGTCTTCACATCAATGCAGGAGGAAAACGTCGTCGGCAACCCATTCTATGCGGAGGTATGTCCGTTCATGGACTATAGAGACGAGTTGCATTGCATCCATTGCCGTCTATTGCATCTGTGTTGTGATTCCTCCGTCTCCTTTGCATGCCTGTGTGGATCAGACGAGCCCATCCGGAAGCTGGTTGGTGAGTCTGAGGTGGGATGGCCCCTACCACAGCTATCGGAGCGTCAAGGCCCCCTGGACGGGCCGGCCCACGTGGCAGCCCGTCGCACTGCTCGACAACGACAACGGAGATGGCCTGTTGCAGCTGCATTTCAGCTGGAACGGCGCCACCAATGTGGCCAAGTGGCGGGTCATGCAGGGCCCGGTCGCCGACGACGTTAGCGAGCACCTTGAAACGGTGATCAAGACGCGGTTTGAGCACTGGGTGGCTGTCGATGCGGGCCGTTCGCAGTGCCTGTTTTTCCAGGTGGTGGCGCTGGCCGATGACGACTCCGTCATGGCCTACTCGAGCGTCGTCACCTCCCCCGCCTGCATGTGACTGACTCGACTGTGTTGCCTTTATTTACCAACGCACAAATACGTGTGTGTGAGTGTGTGTGTGTGTGTGGTGTCCTTACTGGATGTCGTGAGATCAGTCAATGTGTGCGTGAGCAATGGTATCCTTATCGGGCGCTTTTGGGAATTTTAGAGAATATTCTTGCGTGTGCCAGTGTCTCTCTCTCCGGATGCGACTCTCTGTGTCTCTGCGTCCGTCTGTGTATGTGTGTGTATGTGTACCGTCGCTTGCGAATGTCACTGGCTCACTCAACGGATGAGGGAGGGTGGAGGATTCGCAGTTTTGTGGCGTCGCCGTTCTGGGGGCACACTCGGAACGGTAAACTTTCGTGTGCACGAAAGTTTGTCTGCACGCTATATGCGTGAGGGAGTCGGGCGTTTGGATGAATGACGAGGAGAGGGCTGCTTATCTGCTTGCTTACATGCCACTTGTATGAATGTACGTACGCGTCTCAATGATGATGATTTGAGTGTCAGTCTCCGCATCGGTCTGCAGCCTGACGGCTGCATTCCTCGCTTCACCACCCATGAATCACTCAGATTGACTGACCTGCCGTCGGCGCTTCAGGCACCCTCGGTGCCCTCCGCAGTTGGCGGATTCGACACCATCTCACGGAACCCAGACACCCAAGTGACATGGGCAGGCAGAAACGTGTGTGGGTACGGCGTGGAGAAGAATGAATGTCCATTCACCGCCATTCGTTCTCGAACGGGAAAGCGTAGAATGCGACACTACTACGTGAGAGGAAACCGCCAGACACTGCAAACGAAGACCATGATCGGATCCTCCGTACACACTCACGGAATACACGCTCTCCACGCCGTCTCGGCGGTGTCGGTGCTTCACGGACGAAAGGTCATGTGAAGGGATCATCGTCTCTCCGTTGGGAGGGATCATCGTCATCGTTGGGGGCACATGGGGGCCTCCCCAACGGCGCAGATCTGCGAGATTTCAAGTTGATCAGGAGAGACCTGCGCCTCCCCCGCGCTCAACGGGACGGAATTTAACTCCATTTCTACCTGCACTCACCCACTCTGCGACGGGCATGGCGAGCGAAAATGTCAAAGTCGTCGTCAGATGCCGACCTTTGAACGCTAGGGAGCAGAGCGAAGGCGCCAAACGGTAAAGGGTAAAGAGGTCACAAACGCCGATGTGTGGACGACACATTGAGGCCCGTCTTTCCCTCTGTCCTGCGCTTGCAGGATAGTCAATATCGATACTTCCATCGGTCAAATCACTCTGACCAGAGACGCAGCAAACGAGCCCCCAAAGGTCTGCGTGCTGGATGTGTTTGTCGTTGACCATGCGTCGTGAGTGTGGCCTCAGGCTTTCACATTTGATCAAGTGTATGATACGGATGCCAAACAGCGAGGTAGGTTCCCACACTCGACTGGTTCGCGTTGCCCAGTCAAACGGTCTTGCGTCTCTCGATAATTCCGTTGTCACTGTAGCAATATACGATGAGGTAATCCTTCAACACTTCAACACTACACGAATGTTCGTCCTCTCTCCGCGGGGCTTTGTCGAAACTCAGGTGGCGCTGTCGATCGTGGAGTCGACACTGGTGAGGTGAATTATGCGACTCCACACTAAAATGAACATTGTTCCGATTTAAAGTTCAGGAGGGGTACAACGGGACGATCTTCGCCTACGGGCAGACGGGTGAGAAAGGCAGAATACACACGAGAGCCTTCTCAAACTGTCTTTCACATTAATCTGGTGATCAGGTTGTGGGTGAGTAAGATTAAACACGAACATAAGTAAGGGATGGGCCATGTCGCATCCTTAGGAAAACACATACGATGGAAGGGATTCCCGACGACCCAGACCTGGTAATTGTCGATCGCTGCAGTTGGTGTCTCACTATGCGAATCTTTGCGAAATCCGCCAGCGTGGTATCATACCGAATTCTTTCGAACATATTTTCTTATCCATTCAATCGGCTGATCAAGACACGACGTGAGCTCAAAGAATTGTGCGCACGTACGAATATGTTGTTTCGCAACTTTTGCAGCTTCCTCATCGTATGCTCATATCTGGAGGTATGTGTGCCTACCAAACTAGTAACATACCTCTATTGTGTAGTATCCTTTTGCTACAACAACAACATTAGATCTATAACGAGGAGATCAGGTGAGCTGCAGAGTGGGCGTTTAGGTACATGATAAATTAATAATCAAGGAATCGTTCAGGGATTTGCTGGCCGCGGACCCAACGAGAAAACTGGAGCTGAAAGAATCCACAGATCAGGGTCAGCGAAGCTGTGAAGGCTCTGGACGAGAGCCCCGAACACTAAAAGATTGCGCCTGGCTTGACATATCTGCCAGGCATCTTTGTGAAGGACCTGTGCAAGCCTGTAATGAAAAGCAAATACGAGATCGAAGAGTGCATGAGACGTGGTATTCACATGTCCAAACAGAAAGGCGCAGAAACATGTTTTTCCTTTGCTGTATTGTTGTTTCAAGGAAACAGGAATCGAACAACAGGTAACTTATTGAGGACAGTCTGCGCGGCGTCGCGTGCAGCTCTCCGAGTCTGCTTCTTTCTTTGCTATCTGTCTGTCTGCTGTAGGCTCCACGCTCATGAACAGGGACTCGTCTCGCTCACATGCGATCTTTGCTATCTATATCGAACGCGCAACAAGGGACAGCACGGGAGATGAACACCTAACCGCTGGGAAGCTGAATCTCGGTGGCCGGTTTCACCACCCTTGCCACTTGCACACGACAAGCGCGTCCCTGTTTCTTTCAGTTGATCTGGCTGGCTCTGAAAGGCAGTCGAAGACGGGGGCTAGTGGAGACAGGTACTGTCTTCCTCTCAGTCTTCTGCATCCTTCAACCTGATACTCTTTTTCAGATTGAGGGAGGCGACAAAGATAAATCTCTCGCTCTCAGCCCTAGGCAACTGCATGTACAGGCACAGAAAGGCCTTGTCTCGATGCCTGTAGTAATGAGATCTTTCTGTGTGCGTACGTTTAGCTCGGCATTGGTCGACGGTCTGAAAAGATAAACTGCGGTGAATTCCAATCAAGCTGGCATCCATGCGTCTACCTCAGGCAAGTCGAGTCACATTCCTTATCGGGACTCGAAGCTTACGCGTTTACTCCAAGACAGCTTGGGAGGTTAGTGGCTGGCGTTCGACTTCTTTCACCCATGTCTCCTCCATGTGGGAGTGTATCCATGCAGGCAACACTCGCACTGTGATTGTGGCTGCAATTTCACCGGCTCACACGAACTGTATGTCTCTGCTTCGATAATGGCTTTACGCATAGGTCATTGTCCCCGTTCTGTGTCTCCTATTTCTCCCCTCCTTCCCCGCACTCAATAGATGACGAGACACTCACAACACTCAGGTGGATACACCCTGGCCGAGGCAGCCGGAAGGGAGTGGGGCTGTGCCGACGCTCAGGTATGCCAATCGTGCCAAGAGCATCAAGAACAAACCCGTCATCAATGAAGACCCCAAGGACGCTCTGCTTCGCGAGCTCCAGGTACAGTTTTGGGGAAAGCGAGGAGCAGGGTATGGGCCAGACTGATCGATCATCTCTTTTTCTCTCTTTTGTTGCATTTTTATGCGCCTTCTGTTAGGAGGAAGTCAAGCGTTTGAAGGTGCGTACAAGCACATACAACACAGACGAACGGCAGATGGATACATAATGATGCATGCAGGAGTTGCTGAGCGTGCACGCTGGAGGGGCATTCGTACAGCAGGACACAGGAGCGCAGGTCTCATTCAAGGTGCGCTGTGCGTGCGCCTCCCGGTTCCCCACTTGGTTCGCCTCGCATGCAGATGAGCGATCGGAACGCCCAAAAAGGAGATCGCTTAATGGAAGTGATGGAAGTGGTGGACGCGCCCTTCCAGGTCAGAAGACCGGGCCAGGAGCCGGCCAGGACCGCTGCCAGCGACAATGCGGATGATACGGATGTACGCGGAAGAAGACGTGTCACCTGGAGCAAAAGGAGAACTGGTCTTTCTCTTTGATTATTTTGCGAAAGCAGGACGGAACTTATGAGATCCTTCTCGATGGGATCTCTTCTCCCCTTGAGTCAAGGCCTGCTGCTGTGCCAACGGATGCCGTGCTGCAGGAGGAGAGGGCGAAGTTGGAAGAGGAGAAAAAGAAGCTGCAGGAGATGGCGCAGTCTGAGCGAGAACAGAGAGAGAAGCTGGAAGCGTTGATAGGCTCTCTGGAGCACCAGGTCGTCACCGGCCAGAGTGATGAAAAAGCGTTGCTGGACATGAAAAGCAAGATGAAGAGACAAAAACAGGTGCGCCTTGTGACTGCCTATTGGATGCATGCGTATGTCACCATGCTGCATGCAGATGACCAAGCGTATGAAGGAAGAAAAGGAGGCGGCCGAGGAGGCGGCTTTGATGGCAGACCGTCAGCATAAAACCTTGCAAGATGAGCTGGCGGAGAAGACGCAAGTTATCCGCAAGCTTCGAACAAGATACAAGCAGATGAAGTCCGAGGTCACGGATCTTCAACGTGAATTTGAGGATGAGCGAGAGGCGTATCAAGAGACGATCAGGTTGGAAACCATCAGGCTGGACATGTTGATGTCGATCGAGAGCCGTCTAATGTGCTCATGTCTCTGGTGGGTCGACGCTCAGGGAGCAGTCCCGTCAGCTGAAGCTGCACATCCAGATAGTGCAGCACATTCTGTCGGCCGGAGACCTCAAAAAGATCGTGGCACAGGCCAGATTTGACGAAGACAGGGACAAGTGGGCCTTGCCGCAATTCTCTCTGACGTAAGGATTGCGGCAATGAGAAGGAATCATCACTGTATGGATCGATGGCTCAGGCAAAGGAGAATTCAGCTTCCGGATCTAGTTCACCATGCCTACAGACAAAGAAAGGCGGAAGAAAGTGATGAAAGTTCAGCCAGTGAGGGACCTGTCGTGATAGTCCCGCCTGCTTCGGCTCCAACCCCGCCCCCTCCAACCGGAGCCTACCTGATGCGGACAGCCCATCCGGCTGACCAACAAATACCTGGCAGACGGAGCAGAACAGGTGAGTTGACAAATGCACGGATCCTACGCGCCACCAGATACCGTTCGAATGAATGCAGACTCTCGTTCGGTCTCGCCAAGTCCTCGGGTGCCTGAGGATGGGGGCATCATTGAGCCCGTGTCACTTTCCGTGTGGCCTCCTAAACTGACTAGCACCCACACGAGCTACGGCCGAGCATCGGATGAATCAACAAGCGACAGACCCCTTTCCCAGGTGTGCACACTGCATGTGTGCATATAAACGCCATCAAAGAAAGAAACACAAGAAAGGTCGCCGTGTCGTCTTGCCCGTATGCATGTGCTTGTGTTTATATCAGGGCGGTCGGCCGCGGGGTGAGGGGAGAAGAAAGCACCAAATATCGAGAAACGTCCGTCTCGAGCCGCTGCCCCCACGTGCTTCACAAACCAGTGATGATGAGTTGAAGTCGATGGTAGAGCCGCAGAGCAGCAGCGACGGCGGCCATGACGCTCCCGCCAAAGAGACTCCCGACTTCTCCATGAAGTCTTTTGGCCTGGGCCCTGCACCCAAAGAAGCGAGTTCAGTCACTGGTAGGCGCATAGCTCATGGACAAGCTCACAAAGCAAGTCTGAGGTCGGTGTGGGTATGTCCCGTCCCTCCTTGATTCAGATTTCCCCAGTGTTTCGGGAGTCGTGTCGAGCAACATGCCCCTTGGCGTTCCCCGCAAGACGGAATAATGAGTGGACCATGCGATAATGCCCATCTCGTCGCCTGGTGCTGGTGCAAAGGGACAACACAGCTAGATGCCCATCCATCCACCAACCCCATGCCCATCCAATCCATCCACCCCACGGGGACGGATGGATGGTTGAGGCTGTCGATGCCCCACAGCTGTCTTGACACACTACCAGCAAGTGTCCATCCTGTCAACCCCCATGCCCATCCATCCACCCCCCTCGCTAAAAACACATACACACAAGGATGCATAAACCCCGACGGTGCCTCTCGCTTCTTCTAACCCGCCCGCATTTGAGTGCGTGTGTGTGTGTGTGTGTGTGTTCTTTGTCTGGTATTGTTGGTTCCTCCGGGCGAAGGGACTCGAGACACACGACCTGTCTTGGCTGTGTGGCACTCCTTTTGTTGGACTGAAAAATGTGATCGTAGCCCTTGGCTTTGGTCAATGTTCCTACAACACGTTCTCACGAGAGACAGACTTCTTCTCGCGAGAAACAGACTCGAGAATGGCCCGAAAGTGAATGAATGAATGAATAACTTTTTTCAATGTTAAACGACGAGTGTTACGGTTAATGACAGTTTCCCCCCGCAAAAAAAAAATGAATGAATAACTGAATGAATGAGTCAACGAATGATTGAATGAGTCATTCACTTCTGAGACCTCTTTGCAATGGTGAATGGATGGATGAATGAGTGATTGATTGATTGATCAAGCTGAACATAGGTATGAATCAGCCATTTGTAGACGGCGTTGAAATTGCTGACCGTGAGTGAGCGTGTAGAATGCCTCTATGTCTTCGTACCTGGTCGCCTCATTTTCATTACCGCATAGCAGCACAAAGCTAGCGAAAATGAGCCGATGGTCGCCGGCGCCTGTCTCCCGTTAACGTTGTATATCACTGATTCACCACTTGCAGCCATCCATCCATTCAATCACCCAGCCACCCACCCACCCACCCACCCACCCATCGACATCACTCATGATCGATCACTCACTCACTCACTCACTCACTCACACAAAACAAGCAACAAGCAATGGTGTGTCTCACCTATAGCTAACAGTCCTATCGAACTCATCTACACAACCCGAAGTGACGATTGTATCTGTATATTGGGTGATTACATTCTCGTCATACGCAGGTCCGGCGTATGACGAGAATGTTTGTCCACGTCCCTGGCATGGGCACGCCTCGGGAGGGGCGTATTACGTACAGTGCGTATATAAACTGCATGGGCGACCTCAACCTGCATGGATTACAAGAATCTGTGTTTACCAAAATCTGTGTTTTCCCCGGCAGCATCCCGTTCCCATTTGTCCATTCCAGCTACCTGTCGGCGCGCGTCGTCCGTGAGGACCGACTGTCGTGTTGGGTCGTGTTGGGTCGTGTTGAATCGTGTCGTGACCATGGTCAAGAAGGCGGGCACGTCTGCGAGCGGGAGCAAGTCCAATGGCGGCGGGGGTGTCAAGAAGGACCCCAAGGAGCCCAAAAACTCATGTAAGCACACCACACCGGTGGGAATGCACCTGCTCCATACGACATGTGTGGCCGGTGCATTCCCATGTGTGGGCGCATGGGTGTGGTGTGCAGACATGCACTATGCTGCGGGTCGTCGTGAGGAGTTGAAGGAGCAGGGGATCAAGGGCCACCGCATCCACAAGAAAATGGGTAATGCGATGGATCGGCCGGATGCATGTGGGGAGGCGTCATGCGGACATGGTGTGTGTGTGGTGGGTGGTGTGTGCAGGCAAGGAGTGGCGTGAGATGGAGGATGAGGACAAGAAGCCCTACATCGACATGGCACGGATGCTTCTCGCAAGCACATGCAACCACAGACATGGATGAATGTGTGTTGTGTGGTGTGTTGTGGTGTGTTCAGGCTGAGGAGGACCAGCAGCGCTACGAGCGTGAGATCGAGGCATCCGGCGACTGAGCAGAGCAGAGCAGATAGAACGTAGATGGATCCACCGACGGACCCACCAACCACACCACACCACACCACACACACGGCAACGCCGACAGAAAGAATTCGAAGACCCGTCACTGACTGTGACATGCACACATGCTGCACACACACAGATACACACAGATACATACGCACACACACGCACACATACAACACAAACACCACACAAGACAGTGGCAGTGCGATAGCCCACCCCGCCTCGCGCCATCTGTGCAGTGACAAGCTGGCTGTGTGTGCATGTGCATGTGCCTGTGTGCTCGTGAGGCGGAGGAACAGAGAGATAGGTAGAGGGAGGACCTTGACGCGGGGGTTCATACGTGTGTGTGCGTGCGTGATGCGTGTGTTTGTATCCTCGCGTAGGACTGCCTGCATGTGCGTAAGACCCTTGATGAAATGAGTGAATGGATGAAATTCAATTCCCCGGTGGATTGCACAAATATCCAGCACATCAGCCACCTCTCTCGCCACCCAACAAAGGCCAACAGAGTCTTAGGGCCCCCCAGATGGCCTGCTTGCCATCACAAGAAGGAGGTCTACATTTGTGTCACTCCTAGAGGCAAAGAAGCAGTTAGTGCAAGCACCATTTTTTGATGAGTACATTGATTCCATCTCTATGTCGTGGCTAAGTCGCGTCTCCTCACACGGACAAAAGTCTCATGCTTGTGGTATACAGCCTAGCAACAAGACAAGACCTACATGTCATATGCCGGTCTCGGTCTTGTGCCGTGTGTTGCACTCTGAGGAATCTGTCGCACTGATTGCTTGTTTGAGAAGAGCGGTCTCTGTGTCTCCCTTTTGTTGAGAGAGACACATGCACTCGCTGTGACGAGTCTGCTTCCGACAGTACGACCAACACACAAGGAAATCGTGGATGGTGAGAGGCACACATCGCCAAGCACACACGCACACCACCACGTTTGTACATTCGCTGCGCCTGTTTGTCTTCATTCTTCGACCGTGCCTCACTTCAGGTGCCGATTCCAGTGAGGTCAGCGAAAGTGGAGCTGGACAAAAAGGAGAAGGTGGCGAGTAAGCCCAAGAAGCACAAGGCAACCTCAAACGAGAAGAAGAAGTATGCCCTGCCAAACCGCTCATCATCGGTCACTATGTCTCTGAGTGGGCGTGCGTGTTTCAGACGCAGTCTTCATGCAGAGCATGTGGGCCGAGTCTCAAAAACATGAATGACCTTGCGTTCAAGGGATCGCTCGGTACTTGCGCACAATACCGAGACCAATACGACAAGAACGGCCGCCAACTGTTGTACACTGTCATGATCGCCCGCGGACCAATGCAAGGACTATCAAGAATCCACACACGCTCATACTTTTGCCTGACGCGTCAGGCTTGTTGGTTCTGCACACGATCAGGGCGGTCAGGGCATAAACCACACAACTCTCCACTATAGATAGCTCCGCGAGCCAGGGTCAGGGTCAAGCAGGCGCCCCGCCCCCGACGGCTGGCGAAGGAGCAACAGGAAGGGCGGAAATGGCAGTAATGGTGCTGCGAATGGCGTTGGACGGGGCACGGGTCTTGTCACTGCCATATCCTGCGGTGCATAAGATCCGTCTTCGCTCTGCCCCGTCGCGGTAGGCTGCGTCGCGGTGAGTGGCGGGGCGCGGCTTTTTGACTGACGCTTCTTCCGCTAGTAGACAGAATAGCACAAAAAGTGACTCACAAACTTGACTCCATGTGCCGCAAGTCTTCGTGTTGTCACCTTTTGTGCTTTGTTCTTTTTGTGACTCCCCGCCTTCGCCACTGTTTCCCAGGCAGCATCTTTACTGTTGCCCACCGCCTTGCCGTCCTCCTTCCCCTTCTTGTCGACTTTCTTGTCAACAGGAAGGGGACGCGGTGATACACTCTTTGGCATGACCTCGCCTGCGATTGGTTTGTGGTCGTGCTGTAAGATTCATACATTTTATGTATTCGCAGCTGTCTCACCTTTGGCCTTGACCTCTTGACCTCTCTCAAGCAGATTGGCGGCAGTCTTGCCCTCGACGGACACATTCAGTGACATCAAGGGTAGAGGACGAGAGGCCCTTCCCCTTCCCCCATTGCCGCCCCTCTGGCTGGCTGTGCCAGCGCCACCGCCTGGCAAGTCGCTTCTCCTGCCTCCCTGCAGTCTGCCGCCCACCCACTGCTGATATGAGGGAGGGGGCGACGGTGAGGGGGAGAACGGTGGCTGACTGGGTGGTCGCATCAATGCAGGGGACGGGGGTGTCGAGGTGCGCTTTAATGTCCCGGCGTGAGGCAGCAGCAGTCTGTGGACCGGTCTGGCCGGCAGCAGGGTGGGCGGCCCGTTGGCGTTGGTTCCGGTGACGCCCTTCTGACTGCTCTTTGCTGCTAGTGGCTTGTTCGGGGGCGTTTCCGGGGCTTTACGCGGCACCTTGCTCCTGCCACTGGCAAAGCATGGATAGGAAATGAGAAGACGACGGGAGACCTCATGCAGTTCGGGATCGATCGAGCATTCATACCCTCCGGTCGCGGGCAGTGCAGTATGCTGCAGCCTCCCATCCATGGACATGTCTCTGCGGGCTGCATCCCCCTCACGGCCCTTCCTCGCGTTGGCGCTGCTGCAAGGTGCCATCCCATTGCTGGACGACCCCAACGACTCAGTACGCCTCAGCTCCCCTGCATTCTGTCCTCTGGTGGCTTGTCCTCTTCTAACGACGCTCGGTGTCTTCGCTGTGACGTCTCTGATGATCGAAGGCATGAAGAAAGCCGTATTGTTGAGCTCGGTCATTTCGGCAATAAAGGCGGCCTCGCGAAGGGCCCGGCGCCTTGTGCGTCTCTTCTGTTGCTGCTGTTGCTGGGCGCGGATGAGTTTGGCGCCATTTGAATCCTCTCTGTCCTTGGCAGTGGGCTTGTCACGTGTGGTTTTGGTGGGCTGGTCTGTCGCCGGTTCGTCATCCTCTGGGTCGCTCACGTCTTGTTCCTCCTCTGCTACGTGCTCCTCACTCTCGGCCGCCATCATGGCCTGCAGTTCCACTAGCGCACTGGCAACCCTGACCTGGTCGGGCTTCGCCCATTCAAGGATCGTCGAACAGAGCATCCGTCCCATGTGCTGATAATTTGTGGTGTTGAAGTGAGAGCCCGAGTGGTGGTCCACATCACTGCCGCAAAACGAGGCCTGCCACACATCATACATCCACCATCCAGCAGCAGCATCAGTAGGACATGCGCGGACACCTCGAGCGTGTAGCTGTTGGAGATTGACAGCTCCCGATACATCACGACCTATCGTTGATGGAGCCATAGAGTGTCCATAAGTGGAGTGGGAACAAGACACAGATGTGCATGTTGAATACCCTGGCCGTCGCCTCCTTTGCTTTCTGTATGCGAAAGTTACAGTCTCCAAAGTCAAAGTACTCGACGGCTTGTGAAAGCTGAAACGAGGAGACGTGAAGGGTAAGGCAGACAGAGAGATAGACACATGCCGGCGTGGAGCCTCCGATCGTACCAAGTAAGGGATCTGCTTACCAAGTAAGGAAACACGCGCTCTCGACAGCTGCGGCTGTCCTCCAAACTATTGCCATACCTGCACGCATGCCCAAGGCCGGTGTATTGATTATTCTGCCCGCTTGGCGTCCTCCTGGCGTCCTGCTTACATGAACCTACAAATTGAAACAAGCGAAAATTGGAACAAGCGATCCTGGAAGTGGCTCGGTTGACTTACAGCTTATCCTGCTTACATGTTCTTCCTTCGTTCAAGCAGAGGGGTCAGCGGTCATTTCCCATTGCCATCACAGACACAGACACAGAAACAGAAACAGACACAGACACAGACGCGCCGAATGAATCACCCAGTGCCATCTGTGAGTCATGCTGCAGTGTCCTGGAGGTTCTACGTCGCACTTTCGCGAATGTCCGTGAAGGTCGCAAAAGAGCACGACCTCACGGTCCTCCTGCAGGCGACAGACCATCTGCTTTGTGCAGAAGATGGTGGGATGCAACCGGCGGGATGGGTCTATCCAGCATCTGTTCAGATGGACGCAGCGCGAAGGAAATATCAAACTCGGTGTTGCCTTGCTGACCAGTCAGTCTTACCTGTTCAGATCCTGGCCCGACAGCGAACACCTGCGGAGCGTGGCATATCCAGACAAGCACATGCAACTAGTGTTGGAGGATCGATCGATCTTCCTTCCTGTCAATCACATGCCAGAGACCTGTAGTTCCCTACAACCACTCCGTCGGGATTGAGCATAGGAATGAGCTGAAGGAGCGAGCCCAGACAACCAGACAAGCATCGACAAACACAGACAAACGATCATGTGCGATGAAGAATGATGAATGAGTGACCACCTTAAACACATAGCCCTCGCGCAGCGCATGGGCCTCTGGCGTTTCGCCCTGAGCGTGAGATATGTGAACATCCCAGCATGGCCAACACTCATTCATCATGCGCCCCTAGCCCATGATGAATGAGTGTAGGGGCGCATGATGAATGAGTGACATACGGTACCGTTAGGAAATCCAGCACTCCCTGAAACCGCATTCCTGGTGTGTACATGGGGCTGTTTCTCTTTTCCTTTCTTTCGCGACTCACATGCATCATCCAACTGGCGTTACTCTCCTAATGACAGAAGCAGTGAGACACGTGCACCGGGTGAAAAAAGGTGCGAGACAGATGCACTCAGACACTTACACCTGGATGAACACGAGCTGAAGACACATGACACATGACACATGCACCCGACAAAATGAACTTTCTTTTGTTTGAGAAGCTGCCTGGCTGTCTCACCGGTAATGACGACTCCCTTGCGACGTCTCATTTCCTCGTGATTCGAACTGAAAGACGTTATGGTGATCAGGTCACACCTGGCGGCAGGAGAGGGAAAGTGTACGCTGAGATCAATCGTGTTCATATGTAGTGACTTTACGCGTTGCCCGCCAGAGTTTCGCAGAGTCGACGTCGCCTGAGCCACTGCGAACGAAAGGGGTCTGCGCAGTTCATTGGAGACGCAATCAATGAATGAATAGATGAAGCTGACGACCAGAACAGGCTACCTGCTTCCAATGCAGACATGTACCTGGAATAATGCGGTAAAAAGAGATAGTGATGGTCTCCTTTTTGGCAACTCGCCTACCGTTGCAGGTCGGTGAGTGTGTATGGGTAGCAGTGGGCGAACGACACAGTGTCGTTGTCATCTATGCGTTACACAGGCACGCAGGAATGTGTTTCCCTTTCTTGCATCCATGTTGCCTACATTCAAATTGCGCGGCGAAGGTGAGCGTGTAGAAGGCGATCTGTTTGTTGCTACTGCTGCTGTTGCTATTGTTTGGCGGCTGTGCTGCGGGTGAGCTGTCCCTACGAACTTTGTTGCCGAGGCTATTTGGATAGTAGGCGATGTCGATGCCGCACCGATGCCATCCCAGACCGCACTCGGCCGCCGCCTTGACTGAGTAGCAGAGGGGCCGCTGTCCTTCCGAGTACACTGACGAGGGCTTGACCATGTTCACGATGTTGAACTGACGGGCACCGGGACACTATGTGTTGAATGCGATTGACATCCTTCGCTGTATACGCATTATCTGTTGACTGACCTTGTACTTCGGTCCGCGGCGTGTGTTCGACAGACGGTAGTGATACCTGAGAGGCAACAGAAAGCATAGCCCCACTCCCCTTGAGTCTCCTTCCGCATCCTTGTGTCTCCCTCGCTCCCTACCATTGTGTGTGTGTTTTGGTCAGCCTGAGTCACATACGCAGCATTTGTGCACGTCTGTCCCATATCGCGTTGTTTTGTTCGTACCAGTCCGGGTTCAAGTAGAGGTCGTACTCCCATTCACCCCTGGTGTATGGGTATGCAGAGCCAAAACACAGCCACAATGATACATGTTAATGACACAGCCTCATTCTTCGCTTACACTTGAACAGCCCGCCTGAGGTTGCCGCTCTCAAACCTGACAGGAATACAGATATGTATAGGAACCTCACCATTATTGAGACACCGGTCGACTTTGTCTCGACTACTCAAAAACGAACCGGCTCTCAAACGTCAGGGTCGTGTCCCCACTCGCGTATCCTGCCCCTGTCCCCGCGCCAGAGGTGGCTGGCTCGCTGCCCCCCTCCACGTTGCTGTCGAAGCTGTCGAACACTACTCTGTTGATGAAGAGTTCGGGCCTGGCACTCTGATTCAAGGAAGAAGCATGATCAGAGCAAGAATGGGTCTCACATGGCGACAAAACCTATGAAGGATCCCACTTGCCCGTTGGTTCTCGTGCCTCTGTATGTCGTCCATGAGTGACGGTGGGGCGCTGTACAGAGGCTCTGGAATTGGCGGATGGGGGGCCACGGACGAGCTGTAGTCGGGCGCGGGCGCGACAAGCATGTTCATCGGCCTGCAGCGGACGCATCGACACGGGGTTATCGCACCCTGTGGGCCTCTCTTTCGTTTGTCCATCCTGTGCAGCCTTACACGCACACGGGTCTGCCGTCTTTCTGCATGGCTGCCGGGGTGGCTGCTGGCAGGTCGTCCACCTCGTCACTCACCTCCCCGCCTGAACGAGGTGGGCAGAAGGGACAGTTTGATGCGTTTGTTTCGAAAGAAAACGGCACGCGAACAGATTGAGATGTAAGAGCATCGATTGGACACTCACCGTCTGGTTCGGCCGGTTTGCGGTTGGCCACCTGCCGCTTCCGTCTCGCCCTGTTCATTAGGCAGAGGAAGAAGGAGGGCCCCGGACACCCGGTTCGTTTCTCTTCACAGCAACAGCTCCCTCACATTCAAGCCCACGTGCACGCCTGTACAGATGAATTTGCGAACTTCAGCGCCCTTACCCTTTTACGCTCGCAGCCCTTAAAACCGTCGTCTGAAGACTCATGCTTCGGCACAGCCTGCGCCTTCCTGTGGTTCTTTCGCGGCGGTCTCAGCCATCCATTTCAGCGCGCCTCCAAAGCGATGCCGTTAGAAGCATCACTGACCGCATGTTGCCCGACTCGCCCAGCACGGCGCTGCACAAGAAGAGAATCAGGGAAAAGAACAGATGGCGGACAGATGACCTTGATGTCGAGGTGCGGGAGCGGCAGGAGAAGGTCTTCAGTCAGTATGGCCGCACGAAGGATTGGAAGGCTGACAGGAGGCCACCCAGGGTGCGCCTGCGGGTATGATGAAATACGATGCAAGGATATGGATCGTGTGTAGAGCTGGCTGGATCTGCTATGCGAATGTGTCCTTTGTGGTTTTCGTGTGTGGCAGGGCCTTCCCTCCTCCGCCACTATAACTGATCTGGAGTATTTCTTCGAAGGTCAGCCACCGTCGAACACCGCATGTAATTGGTTCGTGTCACCGCCCTTCGTGCTTGCAGGCTACGATGTCGCCCGGAGTTTTCCTTTCTGCTTCGAGTTCGTGAAAGGTATGTGTGTTAAGCTTGTGCTAGCATCAGGGACAATCCACCGGGCTTCATTTCCTGTCGCAGACAAGGCGGGCAAGCCGACGGGTCATGCGTTTGTGTATTTTAACCGGGAGGACGAGGTACGCACGAAATTGCAGGCTATCGTTGCTGTGACTGTGTGCGGTCCGTCAGGCAAGAAGAGCCCGGGACCAGCTGCATAGGAGATACCTGGGAGACCGGTGAATAGGGATCGGGCTGCATGGCTATACATGGATGTCCGCTGTCCTCCTGGTGGGTGTGTGTCCAACTCAGGTACATTGAGGTGTATGTTGACTACCAGCACTAAGAGAAAAAAGCTCTCCTCGGTCGGCTGCGGTGCCCACATCGTCGTAGAAATTGTTGGCGGAGCCTTGTTCCGGTTCTGTCCTTTTCGTCTGTCGTGTCTTAGAAATGGACGAGATAGTTGAGAGTCGCTATATCGAGAGGCTGTAGACAGTTTGAGGACGAAAAATGCACACTTGCAGGTCAGTCAATGTCCATCCAACAACAGCCCGGGTCTCGACAAATACACCAACCCACCTACCTACGGAGCCCGCACCCGGCCTGTGCTGATCGACTATTCTATGTTCCTGAAACCCTCGCGCTCTATGTCATCCAGCCCCACCAGTATGCGGTCCACAAATCGTAAGGGCGTGTCGATGTCATATCCGATCCCGCCCCCACTACTGTTGGCGAAGATGTTGTTGTACAGGGCGGTATCGCAACGCATGATCTGAACACACACACGGTGGCATAGCAGGGAAATAGCCGACGTGTGCCCTCAGTACGCACGTCTTGTGTCAGCTCCTCCGCTATGTCAGGGTCTACTCCTGCCAGCTGGGGCAAGGCAAGCGACAGGGGCTTCACGGCCCGTCCGAAAGTGACACGGTACTCCTGCCAGCTGCCACAAGGGAAAGACGGGGGACGTTCAGTGCCATTGAGTGTGAAGATAAGACAGACCAGGCGACCCTCTTACCTGACGCGGCCATCAAAGCGATTGGAATTGCTCCTTCGTAAGTCATCCAACGAGTCTCGAAACGAGCGAATTGCCGGCCTTGATGAGGCGGCCGCAGCCAACGCGCTTGCTTCGTCATCGTACGCTGGCTTCTTTCCGAAAGCGGCAAGGGGCAACAGGAGGGGACTAAGTGAGGTGAGGAAGGACCGCCGGCTGGACAACAGAGATGTCTGTCTTCGGCTGGGTTGGGATCTGGCTGATGACACCAGTGCGTGGGCGATGGGGAGGGAGAATGCTTTAGCTGTTGAGATGATCAGCGGGATGATGAATTGGCGCCTCCATGTTGGAAGGACACACGCCATCGCTTCAGCCTCGCGATATACCGTCGCTTCTTTGCTCTAGCCAAAAACCCGCAAGCTTCATGCAGTTGGTCTTTCGGCACACGTACACGCAGCGTGGTGGCATGGTGTGTTGTGGTGTGTGCGTATTGACAAGAAGAGAATAGGAGAACAGCAGATAGATCCGTATAATTAATGTGTGTTTGTACGCGAGAAAGCCTCTGTCCTCCTCTGCACTGTCTGTTCTTTGTGTCTGTCCTATCGTATCTTCACGGGATGCCCTAGCCGTCCGGAGGAAAAACCAAGCGGCTGTTCTGCCTACACTACTGCTCGTGTAAACGGGCGAAACGGGATTTACGTGTGGCGGGTCTGTGAGGGGGTGCCGTTCAATGACAGGCTCACTCGGACGAACATCGATAACAAACGTTCATGTACCCATGTGCAGCTGGTCTCTCATAGACAGTTTGTTCGACCGGCCTACCTCACTCCTACTCCACACCCAGCTGCTTGCATGCATCTACAATTCAAAAAAGCTCCTAGCAGGGCGATTCAAACAAGGAAAGCTATAACGCTTCACTGGCTCATGGACGCACACAAAAACACGTTTGCTGGTATCACTTGGCGTACAGGACCGATCCACAATATGGTTCAATGGATCCATGCGCCCTCAGCAAGTTGCCTGGCCCACGCTTGTAGGTCAGGTGAGCCCGTTGGCACATACAGTCGGTGCCTGCACAGCTGTGGGGGATGCTTTGGCGGTCCTGACTGCCTCGATGAACGAGACCATCCTGGCCGGGTCCTTCCGACCACACCCTGTGGACGGACGAATGACAACATGACGGCTTCACGGCTCCGTCGACTACACATGTACCCACCTGGTGTCTCTTCAACGCCGCTTGACACGTCCACCCCCGTCGGATGAACCTGAGCCAAGGCTGCATTCGCACAAGGCATGCGCGCCCACAGACACAAGCGGCGGACAATGCAGTGTTCTCTAGAGAACTCTGTCTCTCTGAGTGTACCCTCAGCGACGTTTTCCGGCGCTAGGCCCCCCGCAAGAAAGAAGGGTAACTCGCGATCGGGATGGAACAGCTCCTACAAACATCCATGAATCCTTCTGTGTACCCACTCAGCCTGTGACTCCGCAAGGCCCCCTCAAACTTACCCACTCGAATGGCGTCCCCGCTCCGGGCCTCACCCCATCGTACAGGACGTAGTCGCGGTGCTTCTGCAGTGAGGCCTTGACTGCGGGCGGCAGCTCGTGGGATACGTGCCCATCCTCAGACACGCTGCACACGTACACCCTGCAAATGACACGCATCGTTAGCACAGACAGAAGACGCCTTTATCCATCCAGTCCAGGGCTATGTTTCATGGTTGGTTGATGGATGCTTTACTGACCTTCGCACTGTCGGCGGGAGCCTGGCGTCGATCTCTGCGAAGGCCGCACGGCACCCATCGCCGTGCAACTGGACACCCTGGTCAGTCCCGAGCATAGTCACACATGAGGATGCAGAGACACTAAGGGATGCCTCCCTTAGTGGGTTCCCACTGACCTTCAGTTGTGCTGTGTTGACAATGTCGATGATTTCGTCAGCCGATTGTTCCGTAAAGACGCCCCACGCCTCGGCCCCTTCAGCCGCCGCTGCCTTGCTCACCTCTGACGCACGGTCGACCGAACCCACGAAGCGCTTGGAACCCTGAGGATCAGAACAAACACAAATAGGGCCCTTCCTTTACTATCCCTTTAACGGATGCTACCTTTGCGAAGACAATGCCGACGAAGTGCGCCCCCGCCTTTGCCGCGTGGGCAGCTGTGTGTGGGTCCGTGAGGCCGCATATCTTGATGGCGGGTGGCCTGGGCTGGAAGGGCAGCATGCCCCTCATCTGCTGGATGAACACTCCGGGGTCTGCAGCCTTAACCAGCGACTCACCAACCAGCACCGCATCATAACCTTAGGGCGGGTAACGTGACAGACACAGATTCATATACATATCATTCTCTCTCACCCATGGCCACCCCCTCCCTTTCCGCCGTACGTACCAGCTCTGTACATCCTTCGTGCGTCTTCTGGGTGATGTATGCCCGACTCGGCCACCTTGACGATGCCATCGGGGAGGTGTTTGGCCAGCCGCTCCGCCACCGCCAGGTCGGTGTGGAATGTCTTGAGGTTGCGGCTGTTAACCCCGATAATCCTCGCCTTGCCCTCCACAGCTATCCTCAGCTCCGCCTCGTCGTGCACCTCCACCAGGGCGTCGATGCCCAGCTCCTCACACTTCTGGATGAACCACGCCGTCTCGTCCTTGAGCACCGCTACTATCAGCAGCACTGCCGACGACCCCGCCCATATCGCCTCGGCTATCTGCACAAGGTCCACGGTGAAGTCCTTCCGCAGGATGGGAATCGTCACCTCCTCGCGCAGTGCGAGCAGGTCATCAAGAGTGCCGCCAAAGGCCTCGTAGTCGGTCAGACATGAGATGCACGAAGCGCCTCCGTCCTGGTAAGTCTTGCCGAGGGCGAGTGGGTCAGGGATGGCACCGATGCTGCCGGCAGACGGGGACTTGCGCTTCACCTCAGAAATCACCGACAGGCCGGGCGCCCGGAGGGCGGCCTCGAATCGGCGTGGGTTGGGCCTGGTGGATGAGAGAATGGCGTGGATGGGATGGGAGGGGTCCTGGGACAGCCGCCGCTTCAAATCAGCCACCTCCACCCTCTTGCGCTCGCAGATCTTGTCAAGAATTGTCGACATTGAAAGGGCTCGGCTGCGGATCTGCTGAAACCCGCGCAACTTCAGCACATGGAAATGAAGGTCTTTGTCCCTTTCCTTCGCTCCTTCTCCCTTCCCTCCCTCTGCTAAGCTCGCAAATGTTCGCTTGGGCCGCCTAGGGTGCTCTGTGAAACCGCTGCTGCCAAGCTGCTGCTTCGCGAGTGTGTCGTAGATACCTGTTGAGGATGAGTGCGTCGGCGACGAGCGTGTCGGCTGAGGCTCAAGGCGAGCCGAACACTGTGGCAGCCCTTTCCAATATACTGGAGTGCTCCATCTGTCTACAGGCGAGCACTCAAGCGCATCGACATCGATGTTTTCCTCTCTCCCTCATGTGCGTATCCATCATGTGCCTGCAGGTGGTGTGCCAGCCCATCTGCGTCCCCTGCGGCCACACGTAAGAAGAGTGCACAGAGTTCCACGCAGATGGGTGGTCAATCTATCTCGGTCATGCTTCAACAGGTTCTGCCGCTCGTGTCTGGTGTCCTCGATGAAGGTTTCACGCAAGAAATGTCCATCGTGCCGGTAGAAAAGTGTCCCGGAAGACATGCAACAACGGGCCGTGTGAATGGAGTCAATGTTTTGGATGTGGGTGCACGGTGGCAGGGCGGTGTGTCTTATCGACCCTGTACAGAGCAGCGAATGTCGGATGCTGGCTGATCTTGCAAGGTACCTGTATGCTCTCTGTAAAGAGGTCGTTCGTCCATTGTGTCTGTCTGTGACGCCTGCAGGGCCGTGTTGGGCGTGGCTGCGTACACCGAGCGGTTGGAAGAGGCGACACGACAACTTCAAGAGATCGACCAGACACTCCCCGTTTTCTTCTACAACGTACGTGAGTTTGTCTGGAGCCAGATTACCGCAAAAAAAAGAAAGGATTGCCCTATCTCAAGAGTACATGCATGATTGCCTATCTCCTTCTCTATCATGTGACTTTTGCTCACCGCATGAAGGACCCTGCCAACTTACCAGGTACAGAAATACAGTACCTAGTGAGTCCTCTGAGATGGGGCCTCGTGTGGGTCCGGATGACTGACTCCCTGTGTGGCCACGTCACGGACACAGGTTGTCTGCTAGCCCTTCATTTCTTCGAGCCAAGATACAGGCTCATGATGGAGAGAATCACCGAGGCACATAGGTAACTGCATGTGTGGGTGTCAGGGTGGGTGAGGCGAACCCAACACTCATTGCATCCGTCCTGTCCTTTTCTTGTCGGTAGGAGATTTTTGTACCTGCCTCTGCGTCGCCACACGAGCAACACCAGCGACCTGATTGGGGAGATTGGCCTCGTGGCCGAACTCATCGACTCGCTGAGGCTGCCCGATGGTCAGTCGCCCACCCTCATGTATACAGACTCTCGTGACTTGTGTCACCCTCTCGTGCTTTCTCTTCACAGGCCGATGGCACATCAGGGCGCGTCTGCGACGTCGTGTGCGTGTGCAGTCGCACTGGGTAGGCTATGATTGACTGACTCACTGGTCATCTCAGAAATTATACCAGTGTGTTGTTGCAACCAGGTCGAAGACGGCACATTGGGGTTGTCCTATTGCACTGTGAAAGGTCGGAGAGAAAGCAGGTTGTCGTTTTGTATTTCACTTTCTCCCTCCCCCTGCTTGGCTTGCTGGTAATGTCAGAGGTGGTTGACACGCCTGTGGAGGATGGCCAGCTGGCGGGGCTGGTGGAAGCTGCGCGCCGCGTAAAAGAGAAGGTCGTCGAGGGACTCGATCGACTCGACGCCGCCACACGTCAGGAACTCACAGAGGTAGATAAAGCGGGGAGGGAGGAGACGATGAGAGGAAAGTCAAGGAGAGGTGGATGGCTTCTGGCTGAGTTGCGTCGTGTTGGATTTGTGTTGTGTGTTTAGTCCGTCGGCTCCGAGCCGGGGCTGTCGGCTTCCTATCCGAGCGTTCAGGCGCTAGAGTCAATGTCGTTCTGGCTGAGTTCCTGCATCGCATCATCCGCCCTCGGGCCCGTAGCACCCACAGCATTCGACAGCTTTGAGGTCAGACACAACCCGTCAAGTGCACTCGTGTATCTGCCTGAGCATTTCTGTTGGTGCGTGTGACGGATGGATGGATGGATGGACGGATCTGTCCGCAGGTATTGTACACCCAGAGCACAGGTTCTCGTCTGGCGGCATGTCAGGCCTACTTCGACCGCATGGCGGCCCACCAGCAGCACCAGCCGCAAACAAGTCGCAGTGGGTCCTCTCTGGTGAGTGAGGGGAGGAGAAAGACATGAGCAAAACAACCAAATGACGACCGATTGACTGATCAACTGATTGGTTGTTCGTGTGTGGATGGATTCCTTCCTTCAGAGCCGGTTGCTGAGTGGTGTGGCGCAAGCTTTGAGCCAGCGGCAGCGTCACAACATCTCCAACGAGGGCGATGCGGGCGATGAAGGTGAGGAGAATGAGGAGGAGATGGAGGGAGGAGCGGAGCTTCCCGATGATGGGGGCGAGGGAGAGGGAGGCAGACAGCCTGAGGGACCGGGGGAGGCGGCGGGCGACGAGAGCATGCACGACGAGTGAGTAGCAAGTTGTGAGCTACCTGGCTGGATGTAAGTACAGCTATGTATGTGTTCACCTGACTGACTTCGGTTGAAGCTAGAGCTAGCAGAGAGAGATCATCGCTACATACCAGGGGCGTGGGCTCTGTGAGTTTGTTTGTGGGGGGGCGCCAGGCCTCGCCAGTGAGGGATTTGTACAGCGTGCCGTGCTATACATGTCGGCAGAAGGGGCAAAGCCTCTGGCCTATCCATCAATCATGTCATTGATGGTGTCCTAGTTTTTTTCGCATGACTCTACCGTATGTATGTGAGACCCGTCACTTGGTCGGCTGAAAGGCTACGGCTGTCAGGCTGGTCAAGGACTCGAGCTAACTCCCTTTTGTCAATAAACCCCGATCGGTCAAGCATCATGCCTATAAAGCTTGTCGTCTGTCTGTCTAGGTGACTGACTCGCCTCTCTGGCGTGAACGAAATGAACAAACATCCCTCCAGGTAGAACAAGTAGCGCAACGTCCAGCTACACAGACGCCGCCTTGATGATGTTCGCACATAGCGTTTGCCTGCACGTAAGACAGACGCCCAGACAGACAGACAGTCAGTGCACTGCAGATGAAGTCTGACCGTCCGTCAGTCTGTCTAGTCTGTCAGTCTGACCCGAGTAGTGCTTTTGTCTTGTCCCAGTCGGTGTCCTTCGGTGCTGCGAGTAGGTCTGCCATGACTTGGGCCGCCTTGTCCTTGTCGAGCGCGTCGGTGGGCACCACCTCCACTCCCACCACCTCGGCCGCACAACACCCGCTCTCGTCGCTCGGCCTGCATACATACACAGATGTCTGCCCATCTCTGCAGATCTGTTCGTGTGTGTGTGCGTTACGCTGAGAAGAAGACGAAACCGTCCGAGAGGAAGTAGTCCTTCTTGTCGTTGGGGCTGACCCTGACGGTGACGACTCCGGGTCCCAGCATGGACACCGTCTGGCTGTGGTTGTTGGTCAGTGTGAAGGCGCCCTCGATGCCTGGCACCGTCACGCTGTCGATGGGCTGCTGCAGATATATGGACTCGGACGGAGATGACAGCGTCAGCAGCAACCTGTTCTTGACGCCCTCGGGAGCAGCAAAACGCAACAAACGACTCAACCGAAACATGGCCAGTTTTTTGGGGAAGGAGCTGTGTGGACTGAGGGTTAGGGTCTAGGGTTCAGGGTTCTGCCTCCGTCAACGGAAAAGGCACGAATCAGATCTGGTCTGCAAATGAAGTCTGGTACAGCCCTGCTGGCCGCAGTGTCGCTGATCTTGTCTTCATCATGCGATGCCTTTGCCACTCCTGGACTGCTCGTCACCAAGATGCGCGCGAGGGTATGCGCAGAGAGATAGAACCACCCTTCATTTTGCACAGTGAAGGAGTGGTAGATAGATCCGGTCGGTTGCGCCGTGTGTTTGATCTGTCCGTCTGTCGGTGTGTGGGTGTGATGTTGCAGCATTCGAGGGTGCGGGGAGGGAGCACGACGCTGCAGATGGCCGTGAGATCATGCGCTGCACAGATCTACCGATCCATTCATTCACGTGACTGTCGTGTCTGTCTGACGTCGGACTGTCAGAACCCGAAGGTTTTCTTTGACATCTCCATCAATGACTTCGAGGCGGGCAGGATCGTCTTCGAACTCTACGCAGACACCGTGCCCAAAACCGCCGAAAACGTACGCATCAACGCATTCACGTGGCTGTATTGTCCATCCATCCGTCCATCCATCTCTGTCTGTCTGTCTGTCTGTCTGTCTGTGGTGGCCCCCAGTTTCGCGCGTTGTGCACGGGCGAGAAGGGAGTGGGTCAGTCCGGCAAGCCGCTGCACTACAAGGGCTCCTCCTTCCACAGAATCATACCCCAGTTCATGTGCCAAGGTCAGGGGCGTCATCAACTTGTCCACACATCCATCCTTATGTTGTTTGTGTATGGTGTGCCGTGCAGGAGGCGACTTCACTGCCGGCAACGGGACGGGCGGGGAAAGTATCTATGGCCGGACCTTCCCAGATGAGAAGTGCGAGCCGGGCGGAAGGGGCGCGGCGCGCACCGGGTCTGCTGTGGACGTGTGTGTGTGATTGTTATGTGTAGTTTCACCAAGAAACACACCAAGAGAGGCCTGCTCAGCATGGCTAACGCAGGTACCTATAGTAGCTCATATGGCAAGGCACGCCTTGGGTGATGGATGGATGGATGGCGTGTGCACGTCTGTGTGTGGGTGCAGGTCCCAACACAAATGGCTCTCAGTTCTTCATTACGACGGTCGAGTGCCCCTGGCTCGACGGCAGACACACCGTCTTTGGGGAGGTCGTGGAAGGACAGGTATTCATTCCCACACACTCACACACACCTCCACACACCATCACTGTGTCTTCCATCACATGTGCGTGTGATGCAGGCAGTGGTGGATAACATCGAGGCGGCGGGCAGCAAGAGTGGGCGGCCGACTATGAAGGTGGTCATCAAGGACTGCGGACAGCTCAGCTAAGGAGAGGAGCCACCCAGTCTGCTTCGCTCAAGGACGACCGACTGGGGAGAGGACGGATGGTTTTTCGTGTGCGTTCTGATGCATACACACGTGGAGACGCCCGTGCCTTTGGCAGAATAATCGTGAACAAATGATGCATTCCCTCCGCATCGAGAACCCTATCACTAGACAAAACAGACCTACTACGTATGTCGACCTACACATACGCACGAACGTACAGAACCAACACACCTACGATGCGATGTACTCTGTCTCTCAACCGATCTGGCATTTGTTACACACGATACCAGGCAGGCAGGCAGGCAGCGAAAAGAGAGCACGCCATGCATCCCAGTCCGTATCTCGTACCGCCCGAACAGTCAGGCAAGAATAGGGATGTATTTCGTAGCGACTGAGCTTCGATGCATGATCATCCAGGTTTCAAACCGATGAAGCACACGAATCGCAGGCAATGACTTATGTCCCCATATGTCCTTTGTGCGCCTCATCCATCCACCACCGTCATCATCCACCACTGCACAAGTATAGACAGAGAGAGAGAGAGAGAGATGTTAGACAGCGAAGGCCAACATGGAAGGACGTCGTGTCTTTGTGATTGGTAAAGGACTCGCGATCGCCGGCCGATCCCATACCCATACACTCTATCAACCGAACAGACAGAACAAAGGCCTATATACAGTATCGCATGTGTCATTACTAAATCGGCAGCGAGGCTGGAGCGAGTTGGCATGTCACAGGGCCTTGCTTCTCCTGTCATGGAAGCCAACTGATGACATGACGTTGTGTGAGGCACTCAAGGACGCTTCGCATGCACTCAGTGACTGTGTGGCTTTGTGTCTCATTATGACTTTGGTCTGGGTCCGTCATTAATTGTGTCTCGTTGCTCGCCAATGTATCGTTGCAGCGAGACACGAGGCGTTTGGACGCAATGCACAAACGGAAGCGCTCAGTTTGACGAAGTGCGCGTGTGTGGTCACGGCGGGCCAGCCAAGCGCCTGCCGTCTGTTTATACCCTCCGACCGCCTCCTGCACGTTGGGGTCGGCAATTTTGAAATCGGCATTTCTGTGCACGGCACTCTTCTTGCGTGACTCCTTGGGCCGTGCGCCTCTGAAACGTATGCGGACAAATGATTCCTTCTTCTTTTTAGCATCAATGTGTGTACGTATGTTTGACACTGAGCCATACCTGACACACACACACAGGCTGACTGGTATGCGCTTCCTCTGTGTGTCTGTGGCCGCAGTGTGGCGTGGAAGCAGACGAAGGTCCAAACTTCGGGTTGGACCTTCCTTGCATCCTGAGGGTCAACAATTGGTCCGTATCTGCCTGTCTTGGCCATCCATCCATCTATCCATCCATCCCCCCAAAGAGCATGGACGACACGACAATTGTCGGTGTGCATTGAGAAAAGAGGATGTCGCGTCGTCCAAGCAGACATGACATGTCATGGCAGCTCAAACATACTTGAATGAAAAGGACAAAACTCGTGTATGCTTACTGACTGATACTTGTTCTCATCAGCAGCGGTCAAGAGCATCAGCACAAGGCTAAAATTGCGAATGATGACTAAAATGCCGCCGATGCCCAGTGCCAGCAAGTGCATCCTGATGACGCCCGGCTCGGTTATGCTCTTGATCAGGGGCAAGTTGGCAGAGCGCACGAGGCAGATGTAGAGCGCACCCTCGAAGAAGACTTCGATTGGCACCATGATTCCCAGACCTACTAGCCTCTCTAGCAGGCGACGGACGGATGGAAAGAGGATCTGGCCGACAGTGATGTTGAACAGATTGGTGAAGATGAGCACTGTCAACTCGATCAAGCTGTAGGCATGCATTTGCTGCAGCAGTGGAGGCAAAAAACGTGTAGAATGAATGGATTTTCCTGTCTGTCGCTTTACTTCCTTACGTCGCTGAGACGCCGTAGGAATATCGGGTGATAACCAAATTGAACAGCCTGAGTGGGGACGTCCAGAAACGTCTTTAAAGACCTCATGGAATAGCGACCGGCCGACTTGAAACTCATCATGGTCGTAGAAAGGCGGCTGAGTAGCATAACCGGCGTTTGCTTATCACGCGCTTCCTGAGTATCTTCAGCAGTGACAGTGTCGAAGTGCCGATCTCGTGCCGGCCTGGATAGGAATCGCACCAGAATTCTTCTCGCGGCACCACCTATGAGAACGAAATACGGCATGGCTAGGTCGGTAACGAAGTCGAATGATGCAAAGATCAAGCTCCACAGAAGCTGATAAGGAGAGACATGTCCAGGAAGGACGAGGAACAGATCTGACGCGAGGACAGCGTCGATGTGCCCACCTACCTGAGAGGAGATATATTCCATCTCGGCCTGGACGACCCTTGCGAAGAGTGCGAAGCCGAACGCTACAAACGTGATTGCTGGAGACGTTTGCAGGGCAGGGCCGTCCTTCAGAGAACGAACGATGCCTGTGACTGAAACACAGACCGAATACGCATAGAAACGTGCGAATGTGTCCATCGATCGAGTCGCATTTCTTACGGATCGCAAGAAAGGGCAACACCACGAGCAGGAAAGTGAAGAGGACGCCTGTCTTCTCGCGATCTGTTGTTGCAGTCCGGGCAAGTGGCACGAAGTAGAGGCGTAGGGCGATCGAGCAACACGTGACCACTACAAACACGACCCATGTCTTGAGAATATACGCCCGCTTCCTGACGATTATCTTCATAGATAGAGCCACTTGGCGAAAGACCCTGAAAGGACAGGCACAACGACAGAGAATATGTGCGTACTATCACAATTCTCTCCACGCATGAGGGGTACGAGCAGGGTGGTAGGGTAATGCATGAGCGGCGTATATTTGTGGTGTTTCCGCAGGGCCTCGACGTGGTGGAAAAGTCCAGAAGCCACGTATGGGGCAAACCCAGGAAAGAAGAAATACCAGGTCGTCCTCAAGCGGCGGATAGCCCCAATTGCGCTGCCCTCAGCCACAAGTAGTATTATAGCCATATAGCATAGGGCAACGATGATGCGGCGAGTTACATCAAAGACTATCCCTGCTGCTCTCCCGCTCATCTTCTCGCACGCCGACCAGTACGCCAGCCACACCAGGGCCCAACAGACTGCAAAGCCGACGGCTGTAATTAGGTGGAATAAGAGTACCTGGAATGTGACAGGCCTGGAAGGACTGCGACATTGTGCGAATGATTACCTTTGTAACTCTTCTTGCAGTCGTCCAAAGCGGCTCAGGAGTGAAGACCGCACCAACAAACGAGCCTCCCTCATATCGCAAGTCAGTTTGGAACTCCTGAAACGAGGCTGCAGGTCCCGCGCATGCTCGGAATTCATTCACCTTTTCTTCGAGCTCCACCTCCTCTTTGCGCAGCGCTCTCCCGTCTTCTTCTCCGTCCTCATGATAGACAACCCCCTCTTCTGAGTAGGTTTCTGTAGGCAGGCCGCAGGTCACGTCGTTGGTCCCAGTGGCGCCTGTGCTCTCTCGGTCAATGACACGGCATTGCGCCTCGCCGCAGCTGAGAAGATCTGCTGGTTCATCGCTGACTTTCATGACGTGTTCAACGTCGTGTTGCGCTTAAGCGGCGGTGAACTCCGCGGTCAGCATCTTCGAAACAGGAGCAATCGCGGTGCGATCATCCTGGGGGGCTCCCTGGGGGCTCAGTCTCCACGGCATGAAGCAACTTTAAATCGTGCATCTGCATCCTTCCCAGCTGCCCGCGGTCAGCAGCCCCATTGAATTTGTTATCAATTGTTCGTTTTCTCAGGTGAAAACAGACTTCAGCGTGCGCTCCGCTCCTGTGATCGCTCTGCTCCTCTTGGGAGGTCTCACACATCAGTGTAATGATAGTGATTCTGCAATGGGACGTGCCGCTAGGTAAGGCATGAAAAAAAGGAATCACTCTGTCATTCTCTCGAGTCACACGAGCGTGTGCTTACATGTCAGTCAATCAATGAATCAATCAATGATGGGTCATTGTCATTCATCCATTCAGTGAATCACTGCAGACAATCCCTTCTCGGTTGCTTCGCTCAAGAGTGGGCAAGTGGGAGACGGCCGTGGTCCTGGCCTAGCTGGCCACGAGGTGGCCGGCCATGGGTGTCTCACATCACCCATACATGGTCACTGTAGCCGCCCACCTATAGAGACACACCCGCCCACCCGATAGAGGGACGCCCGCATTCGCAGCGTCCGCTGAGAACTGCCGAGGAAGGCTCCTCACGAAGAGAATGCACGTCTGTTCTATACCCTGTCTTTCCCTCCGCATCGCCAAGCCGTCGCACAACCTGAAGAGACAGACGCACGTGCCGGACACCTCTTTCTGATCTGTGAGTCAGAAACACGTTGCAGTGCCTGGCACTGACTCCCGGATAACGAAGTGGGCACTGCAAAGCACAAAGGATGGGGTTCTCCCCTAACGAGCGAATGGCGAGGACGGCTATAGGTTTCTTTTTCGTTCTCGTTTTCCTCTTCCTTCGTTTCTCTTCACTTCGGCTACAACCGAAGCGCCTCATCCCACATACCTGCATGCAGGCACACACACACACCGACACACGGAATGCATGAACAAATGAATGAATGGCTGGCGTGTGCGGACCTAGCAGCGTCTTCTGTTATAAGTACGCCATGGCCTTCCTGTCTGGCTTATTCTCATCTCCATGGATGTATTAGTACCTGTTTGCTTGCGTGTGTCGATGCATTGCATGGCTGGTGTGCTGTATAGCAACACCACACACAGACAGGTCGATTGCCTCTCTGCCTCTCCTTGTGAGTGATGTAGAGAGGTCTCTCTGTATCTGTTGATGGTGGTCTGACGCACTTGACGGGCTTGTGGTGATGCCAGCTCGTGATCGACATCCAACTCTGTGCTTATCCGACAATACACACACATACAGACGCCGGGCTGTCTCTTTCCGAGTAGTTCTTTACGGTCCAACTATATCTACACAACTAACTCAAAAACCCGCTATCCACTCTAAGCACGCCTGCCTCAGTCTCCCCCACCAAGTCACTCAGAAGTTCCTGTCCTAGCCTGTCTTAGCTACTTAGCCGATTGCGGCCACGAGTGCCAGTGCCATCAACCTTTCTGCGTCACAATGAGCTCCAACACCGATGACGCACGCGCCCTCACACACCACAGCCCGGCCGCACTCATCCACCCACCTCTGGGCCATCCGCTCGAGCGTGGCGTCGAAAAACGCCGGTGGCACACTACCGCTGAGGAAGGCGAAATGGGCGTCCCAGCCCGCTGGGATGGGCAGGATCTGCAGGGCGCTCTTGACTTCGTCTTCTGTCACGGCGAACATGCTGTGGTGCACAGGCTCATCCGTCTCACACATGGCGAGGTGTTTCAGACGCACCACTAAACGGAGAACCTCACTCACACCTGCCATTCGATCCACCCACACATATATGTATGTATGAGTGCGCCATTCCATGCTTTCGGCCTCCCCGCCCACCGATGTGGTGCTGCAGTTGCCTTAGGGTCGCGCCTCCGGGCTGTCGGACAGAGCCCTCAGAGCTGCTGGTGGGGCTGCTCATTCCCACGGACCTCTGACATCGGCTGTTGATCTGTTTCGGCACCACAAGAAGCAACCACACGCACAGGGCGGAGGCGGGATACGGATACAGACGCCCTATGACGTCGTCATCGTCCCTACCTTCTGAAAAAGAAGCGCTTCCAGCTGTGATGCCCTCGCAGTCTCTAGTTTCGCCTCTCGCATGTCAGGGCGACGCACGACCCGCCCCCGCTCCCCGTCCAAAGCAGACAAATCGATGCTGTGGGCTGCAAACCACCCACCGCAAAGACAAGCACAGACAGACTCGTTGTGCATACCCGGCGTGACTCATGGATGGATGGATGGATGGATGGGTATGCCCGAGCATACCTCTGTGCATGAGTATCATGTGTGTCCGTGTGATGGTGGAAGCGTCGGGAATGACGCTGTCGAAGCCCTTCTGGTCGACACCGCCCCCGCCCTGAAGAACATTCAAGTAATCGCCCACCAATCCACACGTTCGTCTTTTGTTGGACCATTCGGCTCATGGCAGCCACAAGATGAGGCTTCCCGTGTTGTTGTGGAAACGAACAACGATGGACTCGAGCAGAGCACGGCCGCTACACGCACCAAGACAGCAGACGAAACCACCGATGAACAACAGGCCAACCGATCGACGCACTGATGCGTCCATGGATAGTGGATATTCTTTTGATGACTCACGCGAGTGTGAGGGTGGTTGGCGGGGCGTCGGGGTAGACCAGGCAGTTCCCCTCCGTGTCCGCTGCAAAACCTGCCATCCATCCATCCATCCATCCATCCATCCATGCACCCAACAAACAACAGACAGACGCCATCCAGGCACCCGTCTCAATGCACTCACTCACTCACCGCATTTCTCCAGGAAGGCCCACGCGCCGGCGTCGCCGATGCGTCCCTGAAGCGCCTTGTTGCCCTTGGACAAGCGGCGGTATCTTGCCACCCCAGGGTGCAGCAACACCTTGTCCAGCAGCTCGCACAGGGTCGTCAACGCCGACATCGCACGCTGCGGCGAGGGGGACGACGCTAACACCGACCGGATGTCCTCCGCCATACCGCCGAGCTCCTGCCTCAGCCTCCCAGTATCTGCCAAGTCGTCGTCGTCGGCACTCCTCATTGCTGCAGGCACGTCAATCGGCGCCATATATTTCTGACGCTGACGGTGGGCTCCCTTCCGCTGCTCGGCCTGTCTGCTCATCAGCCGCAACATGTCGGGCCTGGCGTGTGGCTTGTTCTTTGGTGCGCCGCTTAGGATGCGCTTGACAAGGGGGGCGCAGAGCCACACGAGGATGGCAATGAGGGCGAGGATGACCTGCCACGGCGGCATGAGCACTGGATACCGAGATCCGACGGGCCCTTCCATCAGCAACGCGAAGAATGGTATCTTGTCCGGTCGCTACGGTAAAACCAAGCGACACGTAGTGGGCTCAGGCCTCCCCTTCCCGTCGCGAGCTTGAGCTCGCAAGAGGAGGGATGGCGATGAACGACGTTGCGAGGCGGTGATGCCATTGGAAGGCTGCCCCCAGCTCTTGACTTCTTCGAAATCGCTCGAGTTGCGTCACGGTGGAGAATGATAAGCGTGAACTGCCGAGTGAGTGGGCGAAGACAGTGAGGCAGGGTATAGGTGTTGTCCTGCTGCTCATCGATGCGTCTTGTGGTGCGTGGGACTGCGTGCAGTAGCCAGCGTTGTTGAGCTGAGTTGAGTTGAGGATGTGTGTGGAGCTGAAGACGGAGGACGTGAATGTGCTCATCCACGGGTACCTGTTGGAGGTGGGGTACACCCACACGGCCCACTCGTTCATGCACGAGGCCAACATCGACAAGAGCAGGCTGCGCCTACCCCACGGAGCCCTCATCACCTTCCTCCAGAAGTCCCTACTCTACGTCTGGATGGAGGCACACGTGGACAAGGTACGGTGGACCCCTCACACACACTCTCTCTCTCTGTGTGTCTGGATGGATGCCAGAGAGACTCTCAGCAGCCAGCCAGCGAGGGACAGACAGGCCAGGCAGGGAGGGATGGCCGGTGCACGCCGTGGGGAAAGTGGATGTCACCTCTCTCTGTCTGTCTGTAATGTCTGTGTGGCATTGATTGCGTGCAGGACGGCAACGAGCAGCCGTGCAGTGCCCCGTTCACTTTGTTCAAGAGCCACAAGTGCACCAAGGCCACCGACAAGACTCCAGACCCCTTCATCGCATACCGCGCACAAAACAACAACAACAACAACCAAAACAACCAAAACAATCAAAACAACAACGACGGAGGGCCTGGTGGCCCCAACGGCACGGGCAAATACAGCCGGCAAGGCGGCGCGCAGAGGAGGCAGGGGAGCAATGAGGGCACTGGTGCCGGTGGTGGTGGTGGGGGAGCGGGTGTAAGCACCACCTCCCAGCAGCAGGCCAACGGACCGCCAAGCACCAGCCGTGGCAAGAGGGGTTTTGGTGGGGTTGTTGGTGGGGATGATGACCATGAGACCGCGATGCGGGATGGTGACGCAGGCAGAGGGCGGGGAAGGGGCAAAGACAGAGATGATCCAGACCATGGTCAGCCGGGGGACGGGAATCAATGGGACGCACAAACACGTGGAGAGGACGCTCAGTCGTCTGTCTGGTTGTCTGGTTGTGTGGTTGTTTGGTTCAGATGTTGATGTGGACGACCGCAGGCCCTCCAAGAGTCCCGGCGTCCCTGGGTATGGCTTCAAGGCTCCGCCGCCCAAGAAGGCGCGCACAGAGGTACATACATACAAACCGTACACGACTCGTATCAGCACGCCATTGCGATGGATGGATGGCACACATTTGGGCATGTCGTGCACTGCACTGATCGAGCGTGTGCAGGTCGGTCGAGTGCCGTCCGATGAGCCTGCTGCCGGCAAGGCGGCCAAGGCACACGCGTCCAAGGCCGCACGGCAACAACACCAACTGCAAAAAGAGGGCGAGCAGCAACATGGCGGGGCAGATGGAGGTGAGGGGGCGGGGCGCACAGAAAACGCACAAAAAGGCCCCGCGTTCGTCAACACGCGCGCGCGCGAGAGAGAGAGAGACGTCATGTGATAGCATGACACGTACCAACCTGCCTGACGCACCGCGTGAAGATCAGTCAGGAGCGGATTTCTCTGAGCTTTCTCATCCATACCCCAGCACAGACAGCCCTTACTGCGCTTTCCTTTCCATCCATCCCCTCATTCACTCACGTATTTCTTCCTTCGTTCTCTGTCTGTCTGTCTGTGTGCATAAGCATCAGCGGCAGTGGCGCATGTCCCCCCCGTTGTGAGAGCCAAGCCACCGGGTCGCCCACCACACGCAAGTGAGCCATACCCCCTTAGCCACCCAGCCAAAGACAGATATCTTCCATCCATCCATCCACCCACCCATCTGGCTGGGTTTGTCAGGTGCAGTTGAGCATCCGTTGGTGAGACCACCGGTTCTGCCGACGGCGGTCCACCAGCCCCCCGCCCCCATGGCCCCCATCCAGCCCACTGGCACCCCCAGTGCCACACCCACCCCGACCTTGGCCCCCGCTCCACCGTCGGTGCTCATGGTGTCCCAGCACCTCCCCGGTGTGCCTCCCAGGGCCACCATGTCGGGTCTGGAGCACATTATCCTCACACAGACCAGGGGCGCCAAAGCCATGGGCGTCAGCGTCGCTGTCACTCCTGCTGCCGGCAACACGCCCGACACGGTGAGGGAGGGAGGCAGGGAGGGAGGTGAGACAACGGACAACGGTGTACCTGAGTGTGAGTGAATGTTGTGTGTGGTGGGTTTTGCTGGGTTGGGTCAGGCTGAGTTCGTCTGGGGGGATCGGAGCACGCTCGCTGTCATGTGGAACGGGGGCAAAGTCAGGACCGATACTGACGAGTAACACATGAAGAAAGAAACAAACAAAACGACACCTGGACATTACGCCCTGATGCGTCGTGCCGGGGGATGCAGGAATGGTGCCCGTCGAGTGGAGTTTCACCAGCTGCCTCCTGGAAGTGGCCAGGGGGCCATCCCAGCGTCGCAGTGCACCCGCAGTGAGCAACGGACGGACGGAGGGACGGAGGGAGGGAGGGAGGGAGGGAGGGAGAGAGGAAGAGAGGCAGAGAGGGAGGGAGGAAAAGGATGGAGTCGGTTCGGTTGTCACGCGCCTGTGTGTGTGTGTGCAGGTGTCGAGTTGCTGGATGAGGACCACACCAATCTGAAGCTGCTCGGCGACGCGACGCCATTCCTGTTCTCTGTAAGCAGGGGGGCCTGCGTACGGTCGGCTGGTCGGTCGCGGTGTATGCGTGCGTGTCTGTCTGTCTGTCTGTCGTCAGGATGACCTTTCGTCCCTGATAGTGTTCCATGACGATGGCGCCGTCACATACGGCCTGCACGGTGCGATGAAAACACGCACTGGTCATTGAACAGACAAACAGACAGACAGACAGACAGGGAAGGCCAAAATCATCCTGTGCGTGGACACGTCTGTCTGTCTGTCTGTATCAGGTGCGTGCGTGCATCGGCTGAAGACGCCAGCGTCAGGTGTGTTTGGGGACGCCAAGGTGTCGCCCTCTGGGCGGTACCTTATCATGACGGGCGAGAACAATGTCGTCTGGAACGTCAAAGACGGACAGCAGAGGCAGAGCTTCCAATGTACTCACTGACTGCTTGCCCGGCTAAAAGAACGAACGAACGGCGCTGAGGTGTCTTTCTCTCTGTCTCTCTGTCTCTGTGTGGATGTTTGGCAGGTCTGGTGGACGAGAACGAGGTTGCACAGATAGTGGACGATTCGCAGAACAGTGAGGAGCTGTGCTGTGACGTGTGGCGCGCCTGCTGGGCCACTGACCAACTCCTGGCCCTCATCCCCGACAGTAAGCCACGTCACATCGCTACTCTCCCTCCCCGCCATCCATCCATCCATCCATCCATTCTGACCACTGTGTTGTGTGTCGTTTAGCGGGGACGGTGTTCCTGGTGTCGATGGACGGCGGCAGGCCCGTCCGCATCAAGGCCAACCACACCTACGACGTGCCAATGGAGGTGCGCAGCCCAGGCACAGACACGCATCGCACCGCCACAGCTTTTGTCTCTGTGTCTGTGTCTTTGTGTGGCTCTGCTTGTGTGTCTGTGGTTGGGTTCGTTCCTTCATTCAGCTGTCGTGTTTGGAGGACATGGACGGCAAGTGGCTGAGCCAGGGGGGCGAGAGGTACTTCGTCACACACTCAACATCCATGTCTCTCAACCACGCACCCGTCAAGGTAGCTGAGACAGACACACACACAGACAAGACAGACACCTGCTCACCACAAACACTTCTGTGAGGAAACAGGCGTGGATGGATGGATGGATGTGCGTTGTGTGTGCAGGTGTGGCGCGTCAAGGGTGATCTAGAGCTGGACCTGGTGGTGCAGCTGCCCGCGGCGGACGTGGGCGTCCCAGTGGTGCAGTGGGTGACTCAGAAGGACGGCAACGCAACGCCACGACTTGTCACGTCAGTGACCCTCACACACACAGAGGCATACATACCACAGACAGATGTTTGGTTGATTGGATGGCTGATTGGACTGGGTGGGTGCAGGAGCCACCTGGACGTGGGGATCAGCGTGTGGGAGATCGACCCACTGAAGAAGGAAGCCACCAAGATACACCAACTCGATACGTACGCAGCCAGCCGCACACACGGCCAGATCTATCACTCACTCAACTCTGTACGACGTATCGACTCCGTCCCTGCCATCCATCCATCAGTGGTCCGCATGTATTGGCCGTATCGCACGACGGCCGTGTGGCTGCCGTCGCATCGGGAGCCCACATTGCCGTCGTATCCTGCACGGTAGGACCCTCGCCCATCCGCCCATCCACCCATCCATCCACACCTGGCTGTCTCGTCCGTGCGTCATATATGCATCAGGATTGGCGAGTGCTGTCGTGGAGCGAAGTGGATGGCAAGGAAGTCAAAATGATGTACGCCGACCACACAGACAGACAGACAGACAGACAGACCTTGCGCACTCAACACGTGGCTACTCTGTCTGTCTGTCTGTCTGTCTGTGTGTGTGGTTTCTCAGGCGTTGGTCCAACGAGGGCCGTCGTCTGGCGTGTGTGGTGCTGCGGTCCGAAGAGCTGGGGGCCTACATGGCCGTCATCGACATCCATGTCAACGAGGAGCCAGAGGAGGGTGAGGTGGAGGTGCCCCAGCAGCTGATGCAGCCCCTGGCAGCGGCCACAGCGGCAGCCAGTGCGATGAATGGAGACACCGCGATGGACACGCAGGGTGCCCCCTCGCCCGACCAGGAGATGAGGGACGCCACCTGTGCCGACGACAACGACAACGACACGGGGCAGCCGCGTGGCGGGGATGCCGCTGAGGGTGGCGGAGGTGTGGTTGGGCAGCAAGCAGCATGTATGAGTTAACTGTCATGGAGGGATGGAGCCAGGTGTCGCTTTAAAGGGAGAGTGGGTCCACGGGGACGGATGGATGGATGGATGGGTGGGTCGGTGCATGCGTTGTTCGGTAGGTTCACTGGATCACTCACTGGATGATGGATGATGATGTTGATGCGATCGATGCTGCAAAGTATATGTAATGGATGGTAACTAACGGTGATGTCGCTTTCTGGCCTTGACAACACCAAAGGGCTTCCTGCATGTCGCTACACCACATGAAAGAGAGAACGCAGTGCAGATCTATGGTTTCTCGGACCCTCGTGATACCGCGGCCGACCCACAGACCCAAGGGATGTGCGAGCTAAGCCAAGGGCTGGAGATCTCATTCCCGTTTTTGAAAGCAATGAGGCAGTTGATTGCTTGATTCATCGCCCCGTGACTCACCTACATCGCCGCCATGAATCTGCCCGACGACCTCTGCTTCCTCCTCGGGTCGTCGCTGCCCCTCGCTGACGCATACAAGTTCTCGCTCACACAGGTGACCTGACCACCCATCCCGCACGCACACACATACCCACGGCACACAGGAACACAGGTGGACATGCGCACACACATGCCCCGTCTCATGTGGTTATGAGTGGTCTGCATGGTTGGGACGCGTTGTGTGTGCGCCTGCCAGGTGTCCGCCTATGACAACTGTCGGTCCTTCTTCTGGCGCGTCCTGTGCTGCAAGAGCTGCTCGGCGCCCATCTGCCACTACGCACAGAAAGACAAGTACGGGTGGATGGATGGATGGAGGGATGCAGGCATGGATGGGTTGATGCACCTGTGCAGGTCGAGCCACATTTTGCTGCATGACGTCGGGGAGGCGCATTTGGTGCTGCCCCGTCCGGCCGGACTGGCGTCGCCCAAGCAGAAGCTGACCAACCGTCTGCGGCTGATATCGTCCATCAGCACACAGGCCAGCTCGACTGACTCCCCACTATTCGACGTCGACCTCAGCGCAACCACAAGCACCACCACAAGCACCACCACAAGCACAAGCACCAGCAACGGCGAGCAGGACGTCATGAGCAGCACTTGCAGCAACAGTAGCGTGATTGTGGTCGACAAGAAGGGTGATGGCACCGTGGAGAACCTCCGAGAGGACGAGCCCTTCACGCTCAACCTCCTCGACCGCACCCGCCCACAGGTGCTCCGGTAAGGCAGGGAGGGAGAGGGAGGGAGGGAGTCCAAACCACCCCACTGTCCCTGTCGGTATTTGCAGGATTGTGTATCACGATGAGCAGGTTGACGTGAATCGTCTGGAGTGCCGTTCCCTCTACTGCACCACATGCGGCCACTACCTGGGCGAGCACGTCATCAAGGTGGTCGTCCCCAATGACAACAACACAGCCGCCACACAACCCGCCGAGCTGGAGCGGACTCACGACAGCAACAGTGCCGGCTCCGGTGCTGCTCCTGGTGCTGATGGGGGGCACTGCAAGGACATCGAGCAGGGCCGGCACCTGACCGACACAGGCATCAATGAAGAACGAAAAAGGTCAGTCAGACAAACAGACAGACAGACGCCAGAAAGCCCATGATGCACACATCCATGAGTCTGTCTGTGTGAATGTCGTTGTTGCCAGCGGTGGTGTTTTCTCGCCGCCCGCCGTGTTTTGCGGCGGAGTGTTTCTGGTGGACCGTTTCCTGCGTCTGCTTAAGATCGACGACACGCCAGTGGTCGACGACACCGGTGGGGTCCCGCGTGCGGCTCTCAAGGCAATGCTCTGCTCCGGCGTCAGACGCAGAGGCAAAGACGGACTCCTGGGCGTCAGACCGCAGCTTCAACACCAGCAGCAGCACCGCACATCGTCGATCACGCCCTGCAACAACGCTCTGTTCGCCAAGGTAGGGGGGAGGCAGGACAGCAGAGAGACCGATGGTCGGCTGGCGCCGTGCACGCACGTGGAATTGTGTTTGTGTTTGTGCTTGTGCTTGTGCTTGTGCAGGATCAGATAGTGTCGCGCCGTCACTGCTGGAACGCCGGCAGCGGGCTGGAGTGGGCCTACATGGTCAACAAGATGATCGACCACGCCGTCGTGTTCAAGAATGAACGGTCCGTCACAGTGAGGGGGCAACCAGCCAGCCCACCATCATCGACGACCCAGTTCCATGTATCTATCTATGTATGTATGTGTGATGTGGTATGTGGATGTTGATTCAGTGAGCAGCGTTTGGCGCAGGGCCGCATGTCTGTGGTGGACGTCCACTGCGCCAAGTGTGACTCCAGACTCGGGTGAGTAAGCGCACCGGTGAAGCAAGTCCATTCCACCCATCATTCATCTCGCCATTCGTGTCAGGTGGAAGTTCCTGAGCGACATGGAGCCCACCAAGCGCAATCGGAACCAGGTCAGGCAGGCAGGCAGGGAGCATGTGTGATCAATGAATGCATAGATGTACGTGGGTTGCGTCAGGTTGGTCGGTACGGCATATGTTTCTCGTCGGTGGTGCCCGAAATGTCCCCCACGCCCAAGCAAATCGACACCCATGACTCGCAACTCCACAACGTACGCACGCACATACACTTCTCACGGAGAGAGAGAGAGAGATGGACCCACACCACAGATCACAGATCATCGCATATGTGTCCATTCAGATGGACGAGGACGATGGCCACCCGCTCAACGCCACTGCCACAACTTCCCAGGAGGGCACCACCAACAGCCGTCTGTCGCACATCCGTGTGTTGCTTCAGAACGACGAGTTCACCGAGGGGGACGAGTGGACGGCCGACCACCCATCCAACGCGGCCAACCGGCGCCGCGGCGCACACCGACACAGATTCGACGCACGCAGACGCATGATGCGCATGGCCAGGCGATGGGGACAGGCGTGTGGCCGCGCCGCCGCTGCCTGCTTCGGCACACTCATCAGAACATGCCGTGAGTGAGCTACACAACCCAGCTGCACAGACAGACCTGCCATCCAGCCATCCAACAACCATCCGCGGTCATGTTGTGTATATCTCCGTCTGTCTGTCTGTCTGTGCGCAGTGGTGCCGTTGACGTGGTTGATCGGCCGGTCCTCTGTGCCGGCTGTAACTGCGGGCGCACAGCAGAACAACACCGCACAGGGCCAGGGGCGTCCTACCAGAAGGTCAGTCGTGGTGAAGACATGTTCCTTGATGTAGGTACCTAACTGGTTGCTTTGTGTAGGTTCGGTGGCTGGCTGCCGATCGTGACGTTGGGTGCGGGCTTCGTGTGCATGGCGATTGTCCTGTACGTCACACACGCGCACCACCACACCTGACACACGGAAATACGCCCGTACCCATACCCATACCCATACCAAAGCATGCACTCGCATGCACCCATCTACTTGTGTATGAGTATTGTTTGGTCGGTTGTCGGCCGACCGTCTGACTCTCTGTCTGTCTCTCTGTCTCTCTGTCTGTCTGTCTGTCTGATTGATTGATTGATTGTGTGGGTATGCTCTTTTTCCATTCGTTGAGTCCGACGAAGGCACACACAGAGAGGGGGGAGGGGACGCACAGACACAGCCAGGCGTCCGGAGGGGACGCACAGACACAGCCAGGCGTCCAGGCACTCACTCATTTGCTTTTGCTCTGTCTATCTGATGGTCGATAGAGCGGGGGTGGGTGATGCGTACGAGCCACGCATGCACGGATCGATGCCTGTCTGTCGGGCTGTCCGTCCGTCTGTCGGGCTGTCTGTATATCTAGATGCACACGTACGGATTTTCGTGGCGTACGGCGGGCGACTGTATGTGTGTATAATGGTCGATGTGTTTATGTGTCATGGTTGCGATTTTTGGCGGGCGACTGTATGTGTGTATAATGGCTCGGCCCTTCGAACCTCACCTTCGCAAGTCATTAGTCGCCTCATTGAGAAACATACAAACAGAAGACAAAGGGGAGATTTGTGCTCCTGGCCGTGTACAATAGCTTCAGAGACAGAAAGACAGACACGGGGGAAAAGGCGTCATGGCGAAGGAGTGTATGGGTGCTTGGTGTTGCTGCTGCGTTTTATGGCTGGCGGCGCAATGCGCTGGTCCAGTAGATAGACACACACCACCCTCATGACACCGAGAGAGACATACCCACATGTCTGCCACCACCTGGCTGATGGTGTTCGCGATGCGGTCTTTTCTCGGCACCACCCCTCCCTCTCTCTCTCCTCTCCCTTTCTTCCCCCCCTCTCTGTCGTTCCTGCCGTGCCGTCCCTTTGTGGTGCTGTAATGCCTTGTGGTCTGGAGGGGTGTGACGTATTGTTGCCGCGCAAGGGATGGATGGACGGATGGATGGATGGACGACTCTTGGCTGGTGCGTGTACGCTACTGGTGGTGCTATGGTCTATGCCGACTCTCTCTTTCTCCCTCTCTCTCTGTGTCTCTCGGCTTGCAGGAAGGTGAGGTTGATTGGCAGACAGGCGGAGAGGCGTGCGCATGAGTGAGCAGTCAGTCGGTCATCCGTGAGTAGTTAGTTATTTGGCTAAACGAAGAGGGGGTGGGCGAACGGGCAGCGCGGGCGTCAGGTGTCTGAGTGGGCAGTGACGGTTGATGGCATGTGATGCGACACACAAAGAGACAATGCCTGGGTCCTCCCTCTCTTGCAGTGTCAAGCCATAAGCGAGACTACGACGAATCATCCATCATTTTCATGAGTCGAGGGTGAGCACATCCAGCCTCTCGCGCTGAAACGAACCTGACACACCCACAGATCGAGATGATGTGACGACATCACGTGGAATCAAGTCGCTTCACGTCACTAACGGACTTTGGTCAGTGAGCGTCTGGAGCACCACCTGAGAGACGGCCCCGTCCACCGGCATCCCCATCGCCGCCTGGAAGTCCATCACTGCCGCCACGTCCACCTCACACCAAGGATCAAGCTGCCGACCGACCGACCGCCAGACAGATAGACAGACAGACAGACAGACAAGGAGATAACCGCACTTTGAGTGGGTGAGTGCGCTCCCGACCTCTGACAGCTGTCCCGTGGTGTCAGGGGATGCGGGCGGGAAGCCCCAAAGAGTCAGCAGCTGCCGCAATACCTGTGTGGACATGCCAGCGATACCCACCTGTCTTTGGTGTGTCTGTAGGTGACTGACTCTCAGCTGGCGCGTACCACGACGTGGTCACCCATCAGCTCCATCCCGCCACTGACAACCGCATTCAATCAACGCACATGGGCATACTGTTCCCTGTGTATGGTTGGCGTGTGTCTCAGTGTCAGCCAGTCAAGTCACCCCACTCCTCGGTTTCTTCGACGCCCACGAGGCTTTGCTGGCCTTTGAGTATCATCTGGAGAGCCGCATTCTCCTCCATCCAAGAATTGAAGAGCAAAAAGTCATCTTGACGCTTCTGCTTCTCCTCTTGCAGACGGGCTGCCTCCTACACTCACCCATGGATGGACCATCTATCAGGGTCGATTGCCGTTTGTGAGTGTTTCGTGTATCTGTGAGGGTATACCGCCTCGCGGCGTCTTCCTTCCTCCTCGGCCCTTGCAGACGTGAGGTGCGAACCCAGAAACGCATGTCTCTGTTGTGCGTTGTGGGTGCTATTTACCTCTTTCTCTCCCTGGCTTCCTCCTGGCACAGGCAAACAAAAACGACAAACACAGAGACACACACTGCGCTGCTGCCTATGACCAGCTCTCACCTCCACTCACCTCCAGAATCACTGACCCGCTCTCGAAATCCGCTGCACGGATCAAATCTAACCAAGAGCACACAGACGCAGAGTATGGGTACATACGAGAGAGAGACTTCCGTGGTCATTGGCCGCCCCAACCGTCACCATATTTCTCGATCGTTTGCCCAAAAACCTCCCAGAAAGCGCCGAAGCTGACATCTGCTGGTGCTGCTTCCGGCGCTTGAATCATGTCGACATGAAGGTTGTCCCTCAGCGCGCCTTGCAGGCGGCAGTCTCGGTCAATCTTAGCAATAATGGGAAGTGCGATGTCCCTGTGGAAGTCTGCCGCACAGGCCCGACTGGTTTCCTCGATAAAGGCCTTCTCAAACAGCGGCCGGCGACGCAGAAGCTCTCGACGGCCCTTCTGCACCCCATCCAGACCATGAGACACAGAGGCACGATGTACTTATGCTTTCTCTTGTGGCCAGCTTTTCCCTTCCTTCGCCCATCCAGCAGTACCTCTGCCTCGGTGCATTCAGCAAACGACTTAGAGAATCTTTTTCTTGCCGCTGTGCGCGTGGCCATGAGTGGGCGGGCGCCCTGTACGTCGTCGAGCGCTTCCAGGTCGAGGTAGGCTGGGTGGTTGGAATTACACTCAGTTGATTTCTGTGTCAATATCAGTCACAGTGTTTCTCGACCTGGGTGGTTGCGCATCAGATACTGAGACAGCCAGATGAGAGGATTGAACCGCTGCGCCACGCCGGGGTCGGTGCGAAGGCTCTGCTCCTGCACACCGACCCAATACACACGACACATCAGTGCGTCGATACACATCACTGACTGACGTCTTTCATCATTTCCTCAATGAGCTGGGTCAGCTCTTCCATGCCTGCAGAGAGAAGCACATGCAGAGAGACACTGCGCAGATACGACGCGCCTTGTGCACATGCCCGCCCACCCTGGGAGAGCAGCGGCAGCAGGTGTTTTGAAATGTAGACATCGTCATCCATCAGCCCAAGCTCGGGTGCATCACTAAGGTGGGCCTCTCGCCTCGCCGTGATGAGCTGCACAATGTACCTGCCGTGGTCCCCCCAGAGTCTCCTGCAGGTCTCATCCTCAGAGTCTCCGACACGAGTGCTCAGCGGCGTCAGCAGAGTGGGATTCACTGCACTGGTCGTGCTCATTGTATCTTCTTCTCTCGAGCTCCCCGTAAGCTGAGCTCCACTCGGCTTCTGCCTATAGACTCTATTAGGAGTTTCACGATGGTGAATCGCCCTATCACACAGCGCGGGTTTGTGTGTGCCTCACTCACAAACACTCATCGGATAACTAGCGTTTGTGCACCTATGCAGTCAGTGACATGCAGTTGTGCACACGTACACGCATCGTGGTGGCACGGCATGGCATGGCATGGTGTGGTGTGGTGTGGTGTGGTACGTATTGACAAGAAGAGAATAGGAGAGAGGAGAGAAGGGGTGGGGGTGAGCGGGCAGCCAGCAAAGATCCGTATAATTAAATTGTGTATATACAAACATCCATCACCTTGCCTCTGTCCTCCTCTGGTGCACTGTCTGTTCTTTGTGTCTCTCGCCGCCTTGCTCAACTTGTGTGAGTCAGTATCAGAATGGGAAGTGCGCCACCGTAGATGGACGCAACTGTGCAGCCTCTCCCTGGTGTGTGTGCACGTCCATGCGATATTGCAACGAACACTCTCATGAAGTCAGACAGACATACACGGCCAAAATCGCCCGCACACGGAGAGGAGAGGGAAGGGACAAGGAAGACGAAGACACCAGAAGGCAAATGAAGGAGGGTGGAGATCACTGACATGCAGAGACCTCCCTGCTTTCCTCAGCCCGCGTCCGCACCCACCCACCACATATATATGTACACACCCATCCCTCCCTCCCCGCCCCCATTGGTCTGTAGTTGAGCTATGTGGCGTGCGTAGCTCGTCTGGTTAGTTCTTGTCCTCCTCTTTGATCTCTTTCTCCTTGTCTGCCGCCTCCTTCTTGCTGTCCTCGATGGCGTACTGGTGCATCTTCTCGTAGACGTACTTCATGTTGTGTGGGCCGGGCGTCTGAGAGACAAGGACGGGGACAACAAGTGCACAGAAGCAATCAACAAATCAATCCTCTTGTCCAGCTCACGACCATCAAGGCTGCACTCCGGGTGATCAAGACACAGCGCAAGGAGCCACCTCTCAGGAACACAGGGTGCTCGCACGGTTCGGCGAGGGACCGCGTTCAGATGGCGCACCAGCGCAACAAAAAAACGTGCCAAAAGGACTTTTACTGGCACACCCCGTCCGGCAAGCTGGATGCAATTCGGGACGCTCTTGTGAGCAAGTACAAGCATGTGATTGGCAAGTGCTGTAAATGAGATTAGTCGCTCACTCCCTATCTGTATCTGTATACGAGGCCCTTTTTGGTTCTCTACGTAGACATATATGTAGATCAACATATGTAGTAGGTCTGCTTGACTGATGGATGACAGAAATGCGATGGACTTCATGAGAAACTGCACAAAGGGCCAGCCAACGACAAGCAAACATACAAAGATACACCGGCCACAGACACCGGAACACGCGAGTGTGAGGCAGATCCATCAAGTACTGCTGCCGCGTATGTGTGTTGACCCGCCTCGCGCTTGATGCCCAGATCGCCCTTGAGGTCCTTGACATTCTTCTACGTCACACATACAGAGAGGGGCGGGCGAGAGAGGTCAACAAGCAGCAGGCACCCATCCATCTATGTCGTTGCCGCGTGCGTGCGTACGTAAGGCTCCCAGTACTGGAAGGACACCGTGTCACGGGCCTTCTCAGGATAGCCGAACCACTTGACCGCAAACGTGTACACGCCGTCCTGCAAACATCACCCACACCACACCAACAATGCCACGGTGTCGTGTGGAATGCACTCATTCTCCTCTTCTGTGCTATCAGTGAACGCGTATGCGTACCTCCTTAACGCACTGGAGAATGGCCTCGATCTCATGCTTCTCGCCCTCACCTTGGCTCTCAACCTGCGACATGCTGCTAAGAGAGTCTAGAAGCCCAAGTGCGAACCGCTGCATACAGAGATGCACACAGTCCATCGCCTGCATATAGGCTGCAAAAGCCTGCTTGACTGATGGATGACTGAGATGGGGCAGGGCTTTATTCTGTCTATGTATATACTGTCAGAAGTGCAAGTCGGTCCAGGGTTTAGGGTCTAGGGTTCATAGACCGACGATCCACTGATCTGTGAGACAGGACGGCTGTTGAGTCTTTGTCCGTTCCATGAGACAGGCCATGGCGGACAGGACGTCAGACAGAATGGAC